GGTGTCTCTAACAGTTCATCCCAGAATTCCGATCGAATAAACATGGCCGCTGTGGTAGCCACATTGATTTAAATGTGTTTTGATAATAATGACCGTAGGACATGGATTAATGCTTACTGATTACTGTTTTTAGCAGTAACGCCAACACAATATTGACATCTTCAGAAGAATTATTGACAGCCAGCCCTAGCGAGCTCTTATGATAATAGGCGTAGTGGAAATAAGTCATACTTTCTTACACTGATGACCGACCATCAGTTTTATGCAAGATGGCGGCTGTTCGACATTTTGATGTAGGAAGAAACTGTTAATTTCAAAAGGATAATTTGTTCCAGAAAATCCTCAAACAAAAACATTTCTCCTCAAAAACAGCAACCAGTGGGTGACGTACAAAATATGTTACGAGTCTCAAAAGTATTGTTTGGGTATTTCCTTTCAGAGAAAGAGTATTTGAATAATACTTGAATAATATTTTATTAATTTGCAGTTTATTGGATAATAAAATTACTGACGATCAAGGGGCTGGGATATTTGTTCAGGACAAATTAGATACTTTTTAAAAAGAAAATGGTTTTAGGGTCCGCGGGCCTATTACAGTCTTAACGAACATCACACACTTGTTAACATGTCCCGAAGCTTCGCCTAGAAGTGAGTGAGTGAGTGAGTGAGTGAGTGAGTGAGTGAGTGACTGAGTAAGTGAGTTGGGTTTAACGCCGCTTTTAACAGTATTTCAGTTATATCACGGCGTGTCAGCTTAATGTTGGAGGAAGGCCCGAAGTGATCCAGGTCTCAGACCTTTACCACTTCGGTGAAACCCACGAGCACGGGTATGGTGCTGACAAACCTAGAAACATAATCGGGGAGAACCGGGATTCGAACCCACAATCATAGGTTTCTGGCGTGTCCAAGGGACGCAACTCTGCACAGCGAATCGCGGCGCCTTAGACGACTGGGCCTTTGTGCCCCCTTCGCCTACAAGACCCCCTTGGTGTAGAGGATAGAACGTGTGCCCGGAGAGGGGGAGGACCATGGTTCAGTCCCCGGCCGCGTCATACCAATAAATGTTAAATGATGCTATTTGTTGTTTCCCTTCCTGACGCTCTACATAAAGGGGATAAAACAAGGACTGGTCGACTCGGAGTCAGTATGATGTGGGGTGTCCATGTTAACATGGAGCATGGTATTTCAGTGGGCTAGCACTGTTAAACTATCATTTGTCCTGCCTTACATATAATTTTATAAGTAAGGCAATCGGTATTAGAAAAGATACAGATAATCGATAATTGTGGATATATATGGGAGAGTCCAAGTTCAACCCCCCTCCCCCTGTTCATAAAATGGACTTGACATTGCCGAGGTCAGATTCTATTCGGGGAATCCTCATTGTTTATATACGGGTAAGCATTTTTAAAGATTGTACATTTATTAACATCATTAATGATGCTGCGCATAATATTGATATCCCACATAAGAAATAAACGACTCATGGTCGTTGTCTATCGTACAATAAAACACTGCAGGGAGAATAAACCACTTGGGGCTGCGCCCATAATGGTTTATTCTCCATGCAGTGTTTTATTGTACCAGTGAGTGAGTATGGTTTCACGCCGCTTTAAGCACTATTCCAACAATATCAAGACTGGGGACACCAGAAATGGGCTTCATACATTGAACCCAAGTCGGGAATCGAACCCGGGTCTTCGGCGTGACGAGCGAACGCTTTAACCACTAGGCTACCCCACCGACACTTATTGTACCTTAAACAACTCCCTGTCATCATTTATTTCTTAAATATAATACGGGAGTAATGCTTGTCTTACAGTGCTAGATCATTGAAATACCATGGTTTATTTTCCCTGCAGTGTGTGTCTGTGAGTGTTCATAGCTTTCGGCCAAGGGATCCCCGCCAATTTACACTGTCCGAGGGGTACACAAAGTATGTGAGCTAGACTACATTTATTTTTGTGGAAGCCTCCGTCGCTGAGTGAGTTAGATCGCTGCTTTTGTGTGCTGGCGATTAGGTGCCTCACTCAGTGTGGGTTCGAATCCACTGGGACTCAACCTGAACCAGTACTAGAGATCTGTACTTTACTAAGAAAGTGTTATCCTAAATATAACATTTGTTCAATCTATTACTTTTTTCATGATACTTGCACTTTAAGATTTTAATAACTATCGTGTGTACAGTTCCTTTGGCTGTGCACCTTTGTTACAACTGTGAGTGAAAGGCAGAACAATTAGAGAAAACAGTTTCGTGTGTTAAGTTCATGATATTTTTCATAACCAATATCATGAAAAGTAAGTGAGTGAGTGAGTGAGTAGGGATTTTGTTTCAAGATTGGATATTTTTTCAGCTTCAGCTACAAAACCAGACATTTTTTTCTTTTAAAACTATGAGCCTGAATTAATTTAAAAAAGAAAGAAAACCCCTTGCAGCAATGAAGTAATTTTACAAGCCGCCGTCATATATACTGCTGAGTGCGATGTTTAACAACAAACACACCCACTCACGCACATACGCACGCACAAACACATACGCACGCACGCATGCACACACGACGGCACACAGACACACTTCTGATTTCAACATGGCCGTCAAATATAATGGAAAGAATATAAAATGATTTGCTTGTATTTTTGTATATTTTTTAGTCACCATACGATATAAAGGTCAAGCCCCTGCAGCAATCATGTCAAAGGGCGTGGCCCTGCACCTCCTTGTTACCATAGTGATTGTGGTGGTAAAGGAAGGCTCTACGTTGCCAGGTAAGAACTACCGTCATTTTGAATTAGGATAACCATGTCAATATTTTATATCAGATATGATGCACTAAACCATTGAACAGCCTGGTGACCCTTGTCTATTGAACGCCCCGATGACCCTTTGTCTATTGAACGCCCCGGTGACCCTTTGTCTATTGAACGCCCCCGGTGACCCTTTGCCTATTGAACGCCCCGGTGACCCTTTGTCTATTGAACGCCCCGGTGACCCTTTGTCTATTGAACGCCCCGGTGACCCTTTGCCTATTGAACGCCCCGGTGACCCTTTGTCTATTGAACGCCCCGGTGACCCTTTGTCTATTAAACGCCCCCGGTGACCCTTGTCTATTGAACGCCCCGGTGACCCTCGTCTATTGAACGCCCCGGTGACCCTTTGTCTATTGAACGCCCCGGTGACCCTTTGTCTATTGAACGCCCCGGGTGACCCTTGTCTATTGAACGCCCCGGGTGACCCTTGTCTATTGAACGCCCCGGTGACCCTTTGTCTATTGAACGCCCCGGTGACCCTTTGTCTATTGAACGCCCCCGGTGACCATGGTCTATTGAACGCCCCGGTGACCCTAGTCTGTTGAACAGCCCGGTGACCCGTATCTATTGAACCTCTGGTGACCTTTGTCTATTGAACCCCCTTGTGACCCTTTTTTTATTGAGGCCCCCGGTGACCGTGTGTCTATTGAAGCCCTATGTGACCCTAGTCTATTGAAGCCCTTGGTGACCCTAGTCTATTGAAGCCCTTGGTGACCCTTGTCTATTGAACAGCCTGGTGACCATTGCGTAGTGACACCCTGGTGACCCTTATCCATTGAACAAACTGGTGACCCTTCTCTGCTGCACGTTGGTGACCTTTGTCTATTGAACGCCCCGGTGACCCTTTGTCTATTGAACGCCCCGGGTGACCCTTATCTATTGAACCTCTGGTGACCTTTGTCTATTGAACCCCCTTGTGACCCTTTTCTTATTGAGGCCCCCGGTGACCGTGTGTCTATTGAAGCCCTATGTGACCCTAGTCTATTGAAGCCCTTGGTGACCCTAGTCTAGTGAAGCCCTTGGTGACCCTAGTCTGTTGAAACCCTTGGTGACCATAGTCTATTGAACCCCCTGGTGACCCTTGTCTATTGAACACCTCGATCACCCTTGTCTACTGAACACCTCGATCACCCTTGTCTACTGAACACCTCGATCACCCTTGTCTATTGAACACCTCGATCACCCTTGTCTACTGAACACCTCGATCACCCTTGTCTATTGAACACCTCGATCACCCTTGTCTATTGAACACCTCGATCACCCTTGTCTACTGAACACCTCGATCACCCTTGTCTATTGAACACCTCGATCACCCTTGTCTACTGAACACCTCGATCACCCTTGTCTACTGAACACCTCGATCACCCTTGTCTATTGAACACCTCGATCACCCTTGTCTATTGAACACCTCGATCACCCTTGTCTACTTTAACACCTCGATCACCCTTGTCTATTGAACATCTCGATCACCCTTGTCTACTGAACACCTCGATCACCCTTGTCTATTAAACACCTCGATCACCCTTGTCTATTGAACACCTCGATCACCCTTGTCTATTGAACACCCCGATCACCCTTGTCTATTGAACACCTCGATCACCCTTGTCTATTGAACACCTCGATCACCCTTGTCTATTGAACACCTCGATCACCCTTGTCTATTGAACACCTCGATCACCCTTGTCTACTGAACACCTCGATCACCCTTGTCTATTGAACACCTCGATCACCCTTGTCTATTGAACACCTCGATCACCCTTGTCTATTGAACACCTCGATCACCCTTGTCTATTGAACACCCTGGTGACCATTGCGTAGTGACACCCTGGTGACCCTTATCCATTGAACAAACTGGTGTCCCTTCTCTACTGAACGTTGGTGACCTTTGTCTGTTGAACCTCCTGGTGACCCATGTCAATTGAAGACCCAAGTGGCTCTTGTCTTTAATCCGAATTCAGTTCCAATCGTATACAACATCTGAAATCAAACTCCGTGGTTTGTCTCCACCAGACCTAAACCCAAGGCATAGTAGTCCTCTAACATCTACAGTCATTCAACACGTTAAACACTTGGATGAAATAACAGATATTATATCAGACAGCAATACATGCAATATTAATATAATCCATTCCCTATCCTCTTCAACAGGAACGTGGCTAAGCAAAACCGTAGATCCGTACGATACGGTCAATATGGCGGATATGAAATGGATTCCTAAAGGACGGAATAAACTCGTGTTTGGTATCATGTCTTGCGCTGACGTGACCTTCACCTTGTATGAAACAAGTGACCAATCAAACCAGTATGTTCTCTTCTACTTGGGCTACTACCAAAACAACTACGCGCTCATCATTCCGAGTTCCGATTGCGACGACAGCGGCAACTGCGACATCCGCTTCTTCAGCGAAGGGATGTACCTCGACTGCAGCAACTTTGCGTTTTTCTGGATGAGCTGGGACCTGACTGGAAAGGTTACACTAGGGTCTGGCGATGAGATTGGGGTGGGCACACTGATGGAAATTACCAACGGGTTGACGGTTGAGCCTTACTACGCTGACGTCCTCTTTGATGACCCGAGTGGCGGGCAAATATACGTGTTTATCGGTGAGTTATGAAATGTGTGTGACAGGCTGATCGAGTTGTGTGACTGTGTGAGTGATGTGTGTGACTGTGAGTGATGTGTGTGACTGTGAGTGATGTAGGTGGCTGTGTGGGTGATGTGTGTGACTGATTTAGTCATGTGTATGACTGATTCAATTTTGTGTATGACTGATTGAGTGATGTGTGTGACAGACTGATCGAGTTGTGTGACTGTGTGAGTGATGTGTGTGACTGTGAGTGATGTGTGTGACTGTGAGTGATGTAGGTGGCTGTGTGGGTGATGTGTGTGACTGATTTAGTCATGTGTATGACTGATTCAATTTTGTGTATGACTGATTGAGTGATGTGTGTGACAGACTGATCGAGTTGTGTGACTGTGTGAGTGATGTGTGTGACTGTGAGTGATGTGGGTGACTGTGAGTGATGTGTGTGACTGTGTGAGTGGTGTGTGTGACTGTGAGTGATGTGTGTGACTGATTTAGTCATGTGTATGACTGATTGAATTTTGTGTATGACTGATTGAGTGATGTGTGTGACTGATTGATCCATATGTGTGACACTTTAGTTAATATGCCATGCCTGATTTTTTCATATGACTAAAGTAAATCTGTCATGCCCGATGTTTTCATAGGACACCAAGCTAATCTGTAATGACCGATTTTTTTAGATGACTATAGTTAATATGTCATGCCTAACCTTTTCATGGGACGCTATAGTTAATCTGTCATGACCGAGTTAGTGACTGTGAATGATGTGCGTGACTGTGAGTGATGTGTGTGGCTGTGAGTGATGTGTGTGACTGTGAGTGATGTGTGTGGCTGTGAGTGATGTGTGTGACTGTGTGAGTGATGTGTGTGACTGTGAGTGATGTGTGTGGCTGTGAGTGATGTGCGTGACTGTGAGTGATGTGTGTGACTGTGAGTGATGTTGTGATAGATTGAGTCATATGAGTGACTGATTGAGTCTTGTGTGTGACTGACTGAGTCATGTGTGTGACAGATTGAGTCTTGTGTGTGACTTATTGAGTCTTGTGTGTGACTGTGTGGCTGTGTGTGTGATGTGTGTGACTGATTTAGTCATGTGTATGGCTGATTCAATTTTGTGTGTGACTGATTGAGTGATGTGTGTGACTGATTGATCCATATGTGTGACACTTTAGTTAATATGCCATGCCTGATTTTTTCATATGACTAAAGTAAATCTGCCATGCCCGATGTTTTCATAGGACGCTATAGTTAATCTGTAATGACTGATTATTTTTATATGACTATAGTTAATATGTCATGCCTGACCTTTTCAATGGACGCTATAGTTAATCTTTCATGCACGATTTTTTCATACGACTATAGTTAATATGTCAAACACGATTTTCTCATAGGACTATAGTTAATCTGTCATGCACGATTTTTTCATACGACTATAGTTAATATGTCAAACACGATTTTCTCATAGGACTATAGTTAATCTGTCATGCATGATTTTTTCATTCGACTATAGTTAATCTGTGATGCACGATTTTTTTCATACGACTATAGTTAATATGTCAAGTACGTTTTTTTCATACGACTATAGTTAATCTGTCATACACAATTTTTTTTATATGAGTGAGTGAGTTGGGTTTAACGCCACTTTTAGCAGTATTCAAGTTATATTGCGGCATGTCAGCTTAATGTGGAAGGAAAGCCCGAAGTGATGCAGGCCTCAGACGTTTACCACCTCGGAGAAACCCACGAGCACGGGTATGGAAACATAATTGGGGTGAACCGGTATTCGAACCCACAATCATAGGTTTCTGGTGTGCCCAAGGGACGCAACTCTGCACAGCGAATCGCGGCGCCTTAGACGACTGGGCCAGCCGTGCCCCCTTTTTTCATATGAATATAGTTAATCTGTCATGCATGATTTTTACATTCGACAATACTTAATCTGTCATTCACGAATCCTTCATACGACAATAGTTAATATGTCAAACGCGTTTTTTTTCATACGACTATAGTTAATCTGTCATACACGACTCTTTCATATGACTATAGTTAATATGTCAGTCACGTTTTCATACAAATATAGTTAATCTGTCATACACGATTTTTTCATATGACTATAGTTAATCTGTCATGCATGATTTTTACATATGACTATAGTTAATCTGTCATACGCGATTTTTTCATACGACTATAGTTAATCTGTCATACACGATTTTTTCATATGACTATAGTTAATCTGTCATGCATGATTTTTTTCATTCGACTATAGTTAATCTGTCATGCACGATCTTTTCATACGACTATAGTTAATATGTCAAACACGATTTTCTCATAGGACTATAGTTAATCTGTCATGCATGATTTTTTCATTCGACAATAGTTAATCTGTCATTCACGAATCCTTCATACGACAATAGTTAATATGTCAAACGCGTTTTTTTTCATACGACTATAGTTAAACTGTCATACACGACTTTTTCATATGACTATAGTTAATATGTCAGTCACGTTTTCATACAACTATAGTTAATCTGTCATACACGATTTTTTCATAGGACACTATAGTTATTCTGTCATGCCATTATATTTTTATTCGACTATAGTTAATCTGTCATGCACGAATTTTTCATACGACAATAGTTAATATGTCAAACACGTTTTTTTTCATACGACTATAGTTAATCTGTCAAACACGTTTTTTTTCATACGACTATAGTTAATCTGTCATACACGATTTTTTTCATATGACTAAAGTTAATCTGTCATGCACGATTTTTCATAGGACACTATTGTTAATCTGTCATGCCATGACATATTAAGTTTTGTCATATGAATAAATCGGGTGTTCTTTAACTTATTATACGTTGGTAATTGTTTGGGATTTCAAAATATAAATAAGGTCTCAGAAATAAATTAGGGCCTTGTTCAAATCAATACTGCAGATGATCCACCTGTCCCCCTTAATCCACTCCCTGACGGAACTACAGTCTTTGAAGTATACGAGACGAACGTGATACATAACGCCCTCTACACCGCCGAGGCGTCTGACCCGGAAGCTGATCCCGTGGCCTTCTACGTCCTTGATGAACACAGCGACGTCTTCACCTTCAGCGACACGACGTTGACAAACATAGCCCCTCTGGACTACGAAAAGCATTGTGAATATGCAGTGAAAGTAACGTAAGTCATTATCAATTTCGACCCGTCAAGATCCGGGGTAGAATAGGTCTTCAGCAACCCATGCTTGCCGTAATTGGCGACAATACTTGTCGTAAGAGGCGACTAACGGGGTCGAGTGGTCAGGCTCGCTGACTTGGTTGATGCATGTGATCGTATCCCAATTGTGTGGAGCGATACTTGTCTGGTCCAGACGCGATTATTTCGGACCGCCGTTATATAGCTGGTATATTGATGAGTGCGGCGTAAAACAACAAACAAGTGAGGGAAGGTGAAATGGGGTGTAACGTCGCGTCCAAGATTATTGCACTCCCATAGCGACATGCATGCACGTGTGTTGCTTGTACTAGTCCGGACTGACGTCAATTTATAGTGTTAACCCACTGAGATACCACGCCACAGTTTACATGAATACCTCACTCAGACACAACAAACTGACTCCGAGCCGACGAGTCCTTGTTTTAGCCCCTTAGCACCGACCGCCAGACAAGTACCACCTTTTAACGTCTTTTGGTGTTACGCGGCTGGGGATCGAACCCCTGACGTTCCGCTCTCCGGGCGGGCGTTCTCTGAGTAATATTTTACGCCGCAGTCGGCAACATTCCAGATATGTTATTTCTGGGCCAGGCAAACCAGTTGTAGACAGCATGAGCAACGATTCGCGACGTCGGGAGCGATCAAAGTCAACCAACGACCAAAGTCAAAGACGACCCTTACGACCGCGACACGCGACTGGGTGCTTTCTCTTGGGATATCACGAATCTCACAGCGGAGGTCTTCGTAAAACTTGGATTAGGACCTCCCCCCCCCCCCCCCCCCCCCCTCCCAAAAAAAAAAAATGTGTTTTTTTTATTTCGCCTACCAGAAATAAGCGAAATGTTAAAACAACAACCCTCATTTACAGTCGATAAGATGCTAATTAATTCCTGTTCAAAAAAGTATCTTAAAAAGTTCAAAACCAGGAATTATGACAAATCCCTAATTCTGCCCTGTCTCCTTTCCCTCACCTACTTAACATTTTGTTTCGTCTAGTGACGTGTGCTAGAAGATTTAGCATACAGATAAACTGTACCTTTTCTTAATGTATATTTGCTGCATTTATCTTCAATACAAATGTTTTCTCAATCTCAACCTTTGGAAACTGCAATCGCGATCTTGGCGCGAATACTCCGCACCAAGGTCGCGATCGTTGGGCCAAGATTGCAATGGTCGTACACAATCAAACAACGTAGGATCGCGACAGTGGAGCGACCATGGCGCGAAATTTGAATGTCCCGTTCTTCATCGCGGGGACTTTAAAGTTGAGCAGTAGGGTTTGACAAAAGATTCAGATAAATATAAGAGACTATATTTGCTTTATTCGCCGATGCAAAAAAGGAAACGTTGATAGGAGAAGGGGGAAAGTCTAAGTATTGCTGATGCCATCCTTCACGGCTCTCTGCCACGGATTCATATATGGTGGGTTTTGGAAACTACTTACAGCATATACGACAACGCCAACATCGTCACCACAATGCTGACCATCAAGGTTCTAAACGTCTTCGACGAGCCCCCAAACGTGGACGCCGTGTCTGTCTCACTACCTGAGGAACTTTCTATCGGCAGCTTCATCGACAGCGGACTCACAGTTAGCGACGCCGACGTGGGTGACCAGCTGACGTACTCTCTGTCAGGTCAGTATAGCGCAAGTATTTTCTGTATGATAAGTATTACTCATGTATTCCCTGTCTGGTCAGTATAGCGCAAGTATTTTCTGTATGTTAAGTATTACTTATGTATTCCCTGTCTGGTCAGTTTTACTGACGTTTTCTCTGTTTTGTTGGATACGCATAAGCATCAGTGAGTGAGTGAGTGAGTTGGGTTTCGGTGAAACCCAGGAGCACGGGTATGGTGCTGTTAAACCTAGAAACATAATCGGGGCGAACCGGGATTCGAACCAACAATCATAGGTGTCTGGTGTGCCCAAGGGACGCAACTCCGCACAACGAATCGCGGCGTCTTAGACGACTGGGCCACCCGTGCCCCCGGTCGTGTTGGGGTAGGGTCCCTAATGGTATGAGGTGGTATCGCAATGATTGGCCGAACTGCATTCCATATTGTCCATTGCAGAGTCACAGGTCAATACTGTCGGGACAACATCATTGCTACACTCGTGGTGCCATTTGCAACGTTTCATCTTTCAGGATAATAATGCACGTGCTCGACGTGCCAGGATTGTGATCCAATTCCTCCAACAGCAGAGCATCCATGTTACCATGGCCAGTCCTCTGTGTTGACCTTTCCCCAATGAACACGTCTGGGACGTCATTTGCAGACGTACACGTCAACGACAATATCAACCTACCACTCTCAATGGATTCGATGTTGCTGTAACTGACGAGTGGAACAACATGAGTCAAGCTGACATTGGTCGACTCATCAGAAGCTTGCCTCGAAGAATTCCTTCATGTCTGACCAACAGAGGTGGTTTTACTCGATATTAGTGACGTTGGCTGCAAAATGCAAATTTCGAACTTGAACCCCGAACTCTTTGACGACCTAATGCGTCATCATCTCATCACACCAACCCTTAAAAACATTACATCTGATCCCCTACTCCCTGCAGATCATATCGTACCATTCGCCAATACCACATAGATCAGAAGATATGTCCTGATGATTTCCACTATCCTCTAGTGTTTTGGCACAGTATATATTGATATATCATTTATGTTATATTATCGTGTCTTCGAATATGTTTCAGCCAAGATCACAGACTTTTCGGAATAACAAAAACCCATTCTTGATTTTATATCTCCATGTATGATTTGATGAAACTCAGCTTTCTGTAATGTCGGCGTTTTCCGAAAAATCTCTCTGACCTCCAGGAAGCCACGCGAGTTACTTCGAGGTCACAGCAGACGGAAGGTTCAAGGTCGCGGAGCGGATTGATTTCGACCCACCAAACAGTATCAAACAGCTCGACCAGTTAACATTGATCGTAACTGACCTCAACTCCAATTCGAACTCAACGACCTTGACCTTCGCTGTGACGGATGTCAATGACATGAAGCCGACGTTTTCCCAGGCAGTATATAGCGCAGAGGTCACCGAGGGTTCCGGAACAGGTTGGCCTTTGATCATTAGTTGTTAACGTTCTAGATTTGGCTACTTTAATTAGTATGTTAATGATGGAGTGTATTTAATGATGAGGATTCATGGCCATCAGATCCAAAGTACTATTCCGCGTTTAAGGTCATGTGAGTACAGATTCTCTCACTCTTTTGGGTTGAGTTCAATTTTGTGGACGTCTCGGTGGCTGAGTGGGTTAGATCGCTGACTTTGTGTGCTGGCGATTAGGTGACTCACTCTGGCAGTGTGGGTTCGAATCCCGGAGGGCACACAACCTAAAACAAGTACGAGAATCCGTACTTTACTAAGAAAGTGTTATCCCAAATATAACAGTTGTTATATTTGGCAGTGTTCAACTTTATATCATCATTATGCATACTAAAAATACTTACAATGTAATGGTTTGAAATATGTTAGAACGTTCATACTTTGACAAGTATTTGCTTCTTATGTGAGAGTGCAGAGGACAACTGAAGATCACCAGCGTTCCATGTCAAGCACATTACATGTTGGACATAGAAAATCATCTTCATTATCAGAGGAAATATTTCTTATGTATATCTCGACACAAAGTATATTATAAATAATTCTAAGTTTTAAGTTTTTCTTAGTGTCTATACTTAGGGGGGTTTGAGAACACTGAGGAGTGTCAGTCTTGACCATTACAATCTCTAACTCGTTGTTTAAATAACTGGATGAACACATCTGAGTTACCAACAGTTTGTGTCATCCAAGAATAGCCAAAGCCATATTTAAAGAGGAGATTCTTCACATGGGTACCTTCTATCACACGTAATTCTCATCTTTACATAACATTAAAAAGGGTATCTATCATTTTTTTATATTTAATAACCTTAACCACTATTAATACAGGACATAATAAATATAACTTAAATAAATTCTCCCACATTCCCCATAGGTTGCCGCATTTGAAAATCTTTACCACTACCCTATTTGGAATATACAGAATTTCCTATTCAGTAAACTACGGATAAAACGAACTCGAAAGGACCACTAATTTTAGTTCGTAATAACCGTAGTTCGTTATAAGCATATATGCAGCATTTATACAACAAATGGTCGGGACTTAAAAATAAGTTCGCTATATCGGTCAGTTCGTTATAAGCATGTTCGTTATAAACGTAGTTTATTGTATATACATTCAACACTTTCTCTATAATCACATCCCTTTTTTCGCTTCCATGCCTTACAAAAGGGTTTATTCAAATGAATTATTAATGAATTGTTTAATAGGCAATATTTAGAAGTTGACGGATGACAAAGTAGACACAATTAATGGATAACAACTTCTTTTTTTACCTTAAAGGAACGTTTCGGCATAGATCCTTATGTCCCTGCTTGACAATACCGAAACGTCGCCTTAACAGTAAACAAAGAAGTGTTATGCATAAGTTATCTCTACTTTGAATTATTAATGGGCAGGTCAAACTTCGGTATAATAGATCTTACACTGAAAAGGGCTTTAGTAGCTTTTTCCGAGAGGATCTTAAACCCTTTTGTCCGTATTAATTTCGGAGTAACCATTAAACCCAAACATTTGTAGCTACTTATTACTTCTACTTGCCTTCCATTCAATGGTATCTTCATATCTAGAAAGGGACTCGCCATTTTTAAAAACAATAACTTTGGTTTTGTCAGTATTAACTTCCATATCCCATATATCAAAATACTCTTGTTAAGCATTTAATCTGTTCTATAGATTAATAATTTTTCCGAAACCGTTATAAGATCATCTTCAAAAAGCAGAGCAATAATATTTAGTATTTCCTCTTAAACATAAATTCCATCTTCAAAATCATTTTTCATATATACAGCCAATTCCTTAATGAATACGGAAAAGGTAGCGGATCCATGATGCACCCTTGTTGTACACCACTAAAACAGTAAAATATTCTGAAAGATTCCTCCCCTGATTACCTAATACTGACCTAACTACTGCATACATATTTTCAATAATTTTGCAAATGTTACCATGGATACCTTTTTAAAGTAATGCATACAACAAGTTTTGTTTGTTTTCAAAATCAAACGCCTTTTTGAAATCAATAAAAACAAGTACACCTTTTCTTTGACTATTGATTGTAATATAAAAATGCTATCATTTGGATCCTTCTTCAAGACACCTTGGTAGTCAACCATAATTGCAGACGTTTTAGTATACAAATTCAATCAGCTGTTTAAGAAAATTTACCCATTTACATTTAAAAGGGCTAACTGTCTCCCGATAATTATTTGGGTTACCTACATCAACCTTTTTGGAAAATTGCTAGTAATTAACATTTTGTTAAACAATGTTAGAAAACGAGATAACAAATGCATTTGTAAAAGTTTTAAAATTCTGCGGGTATGCCTTCATCACCAGGAAATTTATTCAGCTTTAATGTATCTATGGCTGCGGTAACTTCTTCAGATAACTCATCACAATTTTGACCGTAAACACATTCTTTATAACCAAGACTAGAAGGGTAATCTGACATTTCTTTTTAAATGGATAATCCTGATGTGTTTTGGGATTTAAAAGCTCTTCAAAATATGGCCTCCAGTAGAGTGGAGACATTAAGTTATCAGCAGAGTTATTGCATTTTTAATACTTTTTGATAATGTTCCAAAAATGTTTACAATCTTTATCAGTAGCTGCTAAAATATCAACTGACTCTAAAACATCTTTTGTTTAGCAACACAGATTTTAAAACTTTTTTCTTTCTTGTTTATACATTAGAAGATGTTCTCTAGTGTCATTTACCCAAAATTTATCTGAACAATTGTATTTGTTACACTTCAGCTTCAAACATGCAGAATCAAACAATTCCAGGTGTCTTAATTTTGCATAGCTTTAAAACGTTCAACTTTCACACATGAATCAAATGTTTCTAAACTCTCTGTAAAGGTATTCACTGAATATGTACATTATCATGTTTAGGCATAATCAAGTCATTAAATAATGATGCGATTAAATAATGACGCTCATAAAAATTGCTTTCATCTACTTGATTTTGACATCATCAAATATACATGCATCGAAAACTGTTGCAATAGGCAGAAGGTGTGATTCTGTTCGGGTGACCGCCTCGTGGTCTAGTGGTAGAGCGTCCGCCCGGAAAGCGGAAGGTCCGGGGTTCGATCCCCGGCCACGTCATACCAAAAGACGTTAAAAGATGGTACTTGTTGTTACCCTGTCTGGCGCTCGGCATTAAGGGGCTAAAACAAGGACTGGTCGGCTTGGAGCCAGTATACTGTGTCTGAGTGGGGCATTCATGTTAAACTGCGGCATGGTATCTCAGTGAGCTATCACTATAAATCGGCATCAGTCCGGACTAGAACAAACAGCCACACAAACACACACACGTGCATGCACGTCGCTATATAAGTGCAATAATCTTGGACGCGACATTAAACCCAATTTCACCTCACCTAACCTGTTCGGGTAATAATTCTGAAATCTTTTTTAAATGGGAACAAGTTTAGAGATCCGCACATGTAATCTACAGTGCTTAAAACGGTACTGCCAACAAGTGTAACGTACTGAGGAATCCAAGATTCACATGTACAATATGCAAATTAAAAAGACAAGTAGAAGAAGTAGTAGTAGCAATAGTAGTTTTATTAGTTGTTGTTGTAGTAGCAGTAGTAGTAGCAGTAGCAGTAGTAGTAGCAGCAGTAGTAGTAGTAGTAGTTGTTGTAGTAGTAGTAGTAGTTGTAGTAGCAGTAGCAGTAGCAGCAGCAGCAGTAGTAGTAGTCGTTGTTGTAGTAGCAGTAGCAGTAGCAGCAGCAGCAGCAGCAGTAGTAGTTGTTGTTGTAGTAGTAGCAGTAGTAGCAGCAGCAGCAGCAGCAGCAGTAGTAGTTGTTGTTGTAGTAGCAGTAGCAGTAGCAGTAGCAGCAGCAGCAGTAGTAGTAGTAGTAGTAGAAGTAGTAGAAGTAGTAGCAGAAGTAGCAGCAGTAGGAGTAGTAGGTGGAGGGAGGAATATCATATGCATGCTTTCCACTCATACGACCACCTCAAGGCCGTATCACGACTAGCACTGCCGACACACCCTGAAAATGCTGAACTAGTTTTCGAAGCGGCTTTAAACACACAAACCAAATCATAATTCATAAAACATTGTAATCATTAAACTACTGTTGATTATTTGGTAATATAGTATCCCTCCTGCAACTGACGATTACTGACGCTGACAGCGGAGTGAACGCCGAGTATGACGTCACGATGGACGGCGATGACCCGAGTGACCCAGCGTTTACCTTTGACCCCAGCACACTCCAGCTGTCAGTGGACGCCAACAAGCTGGACTACGAGAGCCTCGAGGCCTCGGCCTTCACCTCCACTCTCACCTTTGTTGCCACCGACAAGGCCACGGAATACGAGCCCAGGACCGGAAGTACTGTTGCATTAATTAAGGTAAGTCTTGAGTACTTGAAGGTGTGTGAGTGATGGTGTGAGTGAGTGGCTACCTACACGGCCACGAAATAATGACCGGAAGTACTGTTGCATTAATTAAGGTACGTCTTTAGGACTTGAAGGTGTGTGAGTGAGTGGCTACCTACACGGCCACGAAATAAGAGCGCATGACCGGAAGTACTGTTGCATTAATTAAGGTTCGTCTTGAGGACTTGAAGGTGTGTGAGTGATGGTGTGAGTGAGTGGCTACCTACACGGCCACGAAATAAGAGCGCATGACCGGAAGTATTTTTTCATTAATCAAAGAACTTGAAGGTGAGTGAGCGATGCAGTGGGATGGAATATGAGTGAGTGAGTGAGTGAGTATGGTTTTACGCCGCTTTTAGCAATATTCCAGCAATATCACGGCGGGGGAAACCAGAAATGGGCTTCACGCATTGTACCCATGTCGGGAATCGAACCCGGGTCTTCAGCGTGACGAGCGAACGCTTTAACCACTAGGCTACCCGACCGCCCCGGATGGAATATGAGCCCAAACCGGAAGTACCGTTGCATTGTAAGCTGTTCATCTTGAAGGTGTAGCGGGTGAGTGAGTGAATGGAGAGAACAAGGTAACGAATATGAGCCCAGGACCGACATGTAAACCGAGGCAAGGGCGTTAACTGACTGTAAAAGTTTCCAGTTTCCACCCTTGCCGTACTACGCTGGAATTTCTGGGCTCGATCGTAGCGCCCTCGATGGCTATCACGAGTTATGTCCCTTCTATGTCCCTCCTATTGACCAATCAGATTCCGTAGATATCAATCACTGGATTATTTACAGACCATCGTCATTTAGCTGAAATGCAGCTGAGTGCGGCGTTAAACAACAAAACGAACAAACAAACAAACAAGAATATGGAGTCCGTCACAATGCTTATGCAGTTTACGGTGTTTAAAGGTCCTTCCTGACAACGAGTTTACTCCTGTGTGGTCAGCCACGCCCATGGACCTGACCATTGATGAATCATCACCCCCGGGCACTGTCATAGGGAGCTACATAGCAACTGATGGAGATCTCAGCCTACATGGTGACGTCACCTACCAAGTTGTCTCCCTCGTCACTGGTAGGACTTTTTCTCTTTATGTGTCAACTTTCTCAATTCACAAACAGGTCAAGGTAAGATCAAAATTTGTCCAAATGTGCGTCGTTATGTATATTTAGAAGACGTTAATTTCCATACCCATATGAACCTCAATCCTACTTAAACGGTATCGGTTGATAACAAAGCTACCGTTGCTTGATATAGAAATTGTAAGATAATAATCAAGGGTTAAAAGTTATATTCCTCCCATCTGTTTTTTATATTCATGTACGCGTTTACAATATATTTTAAGGACGTAAAACAATGACATGGTTTAATGTTGAAAATTCATAAACTCTTGCAGATCAGGGAGTTGACGCAATGGGCACCTTCTTCTTGGACTCGGGAACCGGGGAGCTGAGAGTGGCCTCCCCTGTTGATGCAGACACACAGACAGGTGGCGCTGCATTTTACGACATAACGATCCAGGCGGCGGATTGCTGTTCCAAGAACGTTCAGGCTTCCTTTAAGATCTTCATCTTTGGGGAGAACGACAATGCCCCCTCATTTTCAGAGGTTTCTTACCAAGCTGAATTATCAGAGGACGCCGTAATACACAGCGTTGTCCTTGACCTTCAAGCAACTGACGCTGATTGGGACATTTTGACGTACACGTTGCTAGGAAATGGGAATGAACTCTTCCAATACACTTCACCGGGTCTTATTGTTTATGGGCCTCTAGATTATGAAACGAAACGCTGTTTCTTTCTAACGTTAAGGTAAATATATTTTGCTTTTATTATCAAGTAAATACCAGTGTCAAGTATATGCCACTAAAAAGTTCTTTTGAAGGGGTTTTAAAAAGTATTGATCAAATATCTGTATCTTTTATAATGATAATATAATTCAGTTGCTGTAAAATGGGATGAGTAAGTTTTCCTAATTTAGAGCGAGTGATGGCGTGCACGAGACAGACGTCCCCGTCAACATTAACATCAGGAACGTCATCGACGAAGCACCCGTCCTCACCGTGAACACGCCTATCTCCCTCACCGAGGAACAACCTGTAGGGACGCCGTTAGGGGGCGTGTATGACGTCACAGACAGGGATGAGAACGACACTCTCACTTTCAGCCTCGAAGGTACTCGTTTGGTCCCAAAGTGTTTTATGTTTCTCGAAAGTCCCCCCCCCCCCCCCCCAAATGTGAGTCGAGTTAGAGTTGTTTTACAGGGGACACAACAGATATGAAATACAGCAAATTTAGATAATATTTGCTTAAACAGAAGCTACAGAACAAGGGTTATTTCTATTTCTGTTTTCTGTTTGATAATCTTTCTTACTTTGAGATTGGGTACTTTAAGTACAATGAAGACATAAATGTGAAAAAACCTCAACTAAATTTGATTATGAAGGCCGGGGTCTGTGTTTCATATTGCCAGTTTCTTCGCCAGAACTGCTAAAAACTAAAAACTCTGACGATGCTCCCGGCAACTCAGTGTTTAATGAGGCATCGGAAATTTAAAAACAATATGGCCGCCAAACAGGAAAAGATTACTTGACACGTGACGTTTTCCATCTAGAGATATTCTGACCAGCCTGGTTCCCTGGGTATGCTGCGCTGGCGCTACACTGACCCAGGCAATGACTGCACAATGACCGCCTCCACTAGACGAACAAACATGGCGGACACACCATGAATTTACTTTAGAAAAACTCTAGAACGGGTGGTTAATTTTTTTCTTAGCATTTTCATAAATGCTCTTGCAATGTATTTGTCACGTGAACAACGTCCATTGTTACTTTTAGTGAAGGAAAACATTATTCTGACCTCTTCAAACAAAAATCTAAACGTAATCTCATTGCAATCAGATTTTTTTGCATCCGCTGAACAAAGATTTGAGGACATCCCATTACGGGTCACGTCAGAAGGACCCTTCATCCGACAAATCAGAGCATTTGATTACCAGATCAGGAAAGTGAAAGTCGGAATGTATATTTTTAATCATGAAAACTCGAAAAGATGGAACGAAGTAGGAAAATCACCGTCTATCTCTCCCTTCAATGCGATAAACATTTAAAACGGAGATATTTTCCACAGCCCGTGGGAAGTTCTGCCATACAATCTCAGCCAGCTGTCTTGCTACTCATTTCATTTGTCAGTCAAAGTTCGCCAAAGGTGATTCTGACGTGACCTATATTGGAATGTTCCTGAGATCTTTGTGTAGCAGTAGCGAACACTATGATCTTATTTGAATAAGATGGAATCTAGGCAAGGCTAGACATTAGAAAGCACCGTCATAAAGTCTAAATACAACACATTTAATTAAGCATAAAAAATAAATGTGACGTCATCATATTATTCCAAGTGTGTATTTTTTGCATATAAAAAACAATTTGTACCTGGAGCCTGTTTGTATCATGTCTTTCTGCCTTTATGATACCGCGTGTCCGTTGAACCTGCCTGTGTTCATTTAGAACACTTCTGTTTTCCTCAAAAGTATTCGTTTCCTGTTTGGCGGACATATTGTTTTAAAACTCTCGACGCAATATTTCGTTTGGGGACTGGATATTGCTTCAGCTACAGCTGCAAAACCAGAATATTGTTTTAATTAAAAGTATGATCCTAAATGTAAAACAAATATTTCTTACAACAATTTTTGTTGCAGACATTTTTTTTAACTGCCAGAAGCTAAAGTTCTTTTTTCAATCATGTTTTGCTCCCGTGAAGATCCGGGTTAGAATCGGTCTTCGGATTGTCTGGTCCAGACTCGATCATTTAGAGGCCGCCGTCATTTAGCTGGAATATTGCTGAGTGAAGCGTTAAACAACAAACAAAAGAAACAAACAATAATATTCTGGGACAGTGTATTCTTTTCGATTATCAAATGGTCGTTCTCTTATGCAGAAAGTATTGCAATACCAATACTGGCAGAAACTAACTGATGGCAACATATCCAGGTGAGCTACAGTGCCGTGGCACCAGTTGTACAATTCTGGAAGATGCTCATGTTGTCCCTATTTCACCAGGGTCTGAAAGCTCATACTTCTACATCGACTCTACAACGGGCGTCATCATCCTGGAACAGAGAATAGACAGAGAGGGCGGTTTGACCTCCATCTCAGATGTGACCTTAAAGGTGACAGACTCCGGGGGCAACGTGGCAAGTGCTACTCTCACCTTCGACATCGTGGACATCAACGACAACAGTCCACAGTTCAGCAGCGACGTGATCCACATTGAGGTCACCGAGAACACCCCACACGGTGGGGAAAACTTGTCAATCAACTCTTTTATGCCGATAACTCTGTTTTGATTTTGTGATAAAAAAGATACCCTACCAAAAGAGGACAGGCCTCCATCTCTCGTACATGTGCGTGACTTGATACGCGAGATATTCTGAGTCCTCCATAAAGTAAAGGCCTCGATCTCTAGTTCATGTGCGTGACTTTGATACGCGAGATATTCTGAGTTCTCCATAAAGTAAAGGCCTCCATCTCTAGTTCATGTACGTGACTTGATACGGGGAGTTATTCTGACTTTCCCCATAAAGTAAAGGCCTCCATCTCTTGTTCATGTGCGTGACTTTGATACGCGAGATATTCTGAGTTCTCCATAAAGTAAAGGCCTCCATCTCTAGTTCATGTACGTGACTTGATACGCGAGATATTCTGAGTTCTCCATAAAGTAAAGGCCTCCATCTCTAGTTCATGTGCGTGACTTTGATACACGAGATATTCTGAGTTCTCCATAAAGTAAAGGCCTCCATCTCTAGTTCATGTGCGTGACTTTGATACGCGAGATATTCTGAGTTCTCCATAAAGTAAAGGCCTCCATCTCTAGTTCATGTGCGTGACTAGTTACGGTGGGATATTCTGAGTTCCCCATAAAGTACAGGCAGAAAACCGAACATTGATAAGCGAGGTTGGCTAAAAAGGTTTACTACAGACGTCAGAAGTTTCTTTCAGTAACAGTTCGAGTTTAATATTATTTTCAGATATGCTCCTCAGTTCTCTGGAGGTGACTGACGGGGACGCCGGGGACAACGCCGAAGTCGTCGTCTCCATCATCAGCGGTGATGATGACTCCCCGGATGAGAAGTTTCAGTTGATCGGGACTGAAGTGCGAACATCCGGGACCTATATTGATTACGAGGCTCTGAGTTCTGCCAACTTCCTGTACACCCTGACCGTGCAAGCCGTGGATCAGCCCACGACGGAGGCGGCGAAGACGGCTGTTGCTGTAGTTGTCGTCACAGTAAGATCGTATGATTGCTAACGCTTATCAAAGGTTATGATTTTATGTGACGATATGTTCGATGATGTATTGATTATTCTGTATGAATAAGATTAATATTAATCAAAATTAAATCCTTACAGAAAATAAGGGCTTACATGAAGAGTGATAAGCTAGCGTTCTAGGGGTCACATTTACTGACACCTGCCGTGAAATAATCCCGTTCAGTGTATGACAATAACGCACAAAGGTCAGGCAACAGACATCATGAGGGGAAGTTGATCTTCAGCGTTACAATTCAATTTGTGTGATTGATGGCGTTTGATGTGCACGGGTCCCAATTGTGTGGATCGATGCTCATGATATCAATCACTATATTGTCTGGTCTAGACTCGATTATTTACAGACCGCCTTCATATAGCTGGAATATTGCTGAGTGCGACGTTTAACAGCAAATAAACAAACAAATCAGATTACAGGGTCACATGATAATTTATTTTATTGCTATCGATGGGCTCTGTAACAAACAAATCAACGTTGGTCACGGAGAGTAGGTGGATGGGTGACCTTGTTCAGCAGCCAGACTGTTGATAGTTTCCAGGGCTTTGGTCCTTCTGCAAACTGAAACGCATGTAACACATGGGCTGTCTCCCTTAGTTCAAAATATACCTCTCTTCACCATGTAGTGAAGGGTGGGATGAGATGGTAATGTGACCTTTAACCTTCAAGCCCTCACAGAGAGCTGGCAATGAAAATCGAGTGCACACTGATCCATTTACCGGGTTAATACTAGTGGGCTTTAGTCATGATATCTAGCATGGAAAAAGCGATTAACCAACAAAAATAAGTGATTAATCTATGCGCAAAAAAAAATCAAAAAAATCAAAAAAAAATCTATGCGCAAACAGTTTGATAGCTGCAGGTCACCGTGTGATTGGCACGAATTAACAAAGATCACAAGTTTAACAATAGAGAGAATACAACATCATAGCTTCTTGTAGTTGTGTTATTATCGCCACACAGTGACAAATCGATGACTGGACTAGAGACCATAGTGTACCATAGCATAGCATGGCCGACATTGTGGTGGATCTTTGATGGTGAGCTACCATCAACATCCATCTGGTCGATACGCAGAGATTTGATCACGTGATGAAGCCAGCCCCGTTACGCTTTGTGCGTAGGATTGCTTGCCAGTTTGAAATCCAACAGGGTAACGCTTGCCAAAATACAGCACGGGTGGCATTTTCAAGTTTGGAATGAGCGAGTATAGTTTTACGCCGCTTTAAGCAATATTCCAGCAATATCGTGGATCGATGCTCATTATGTCAATCACTCGATTGTCTAGTCCAGACACGATTATTTACAGACCGCCGTCATATAGCCGGAATATTGCTGAGTGCGGCGTTAAACAACAAACAAACAAACAAAACATAGCTGTTCCCTTTGGCGCGCTCGAAACCCATGATTGTTGGTTCGAATCCCGGTTCGACCCGATTATGTTTCTAAGTTTGTCAGCACCATACCTATGCTCGTGGTTTTCACCAAACCGGGAAACGTCTGAGACCTGCATCACTTTAATGGGGCTTCCATCCCACATCCAGCTGACACGCCGTAAGATAACTGGAATACTGTTCAAAGCGGTTTTAGACCCATCCCAGTCACTCACTCACATGGCTGTTATACATACAAGACCATTCATTTTTTCATTCAATTCATGCGATCCCTTATTTTGTTCATGATTATTTGTATATAAAGTTCATGTACTTCGCTCAAAGTTTATTGATTTAACAAAATGAATTCAAATCACAAGCTACCACATCAGTATTTTCACATCCAGGTTGTGCCAGAAAATGAGCGCACTCCAACGTGGGATACTGCACCGAGTGATATGACTGTCAGTGAAAGCAGGGACGCCGGGTCACAGCTGGGTCACTACACAGCAACTGATGACGATGTAGGCAGAGATGGTGACATCACATACCAACTTGTTTCCGTCACAGATGGTAAGCAGTTTGACGAGAATTAATTCAGGCAAGGAAGATAATTGACCATAAAAGACAAGTTTCACCCTTGCCAAACTAGGCTGGAATTTCGGAGATATTTGTTGGCTGGACAAACGAGTCCTTGCACAGTCCAATCAAAATCGCGTAACGAAATCGACATCCGGTTCGTAAACAACATGGCGACTGCCGAGCAAATTTCGGTCGACTGCAGGATTTGCATATCATGTGTTCCGTCAACTCGGCGTCGAGAGATCTTTTCCAAATCTATACACAACCAACGAGTACTGGGTGTCTGAGATAGGGAATGTGAAATTTTCTTCGATAAACTTGATCAGGTCGTCTTGATTGGGCGGCGCCATTTTGTTTGCAGCAAATGCAAGTGATGAGGGAAGTGGAATCTGATTGGTCAATAATACAGCAGGGACATAGAAGGGACATAACTCGTAATAGCCACTGGTGGCGCTACGATCGATCCACGAAATTCCAGCCCAGTTCGGCAAGGGTGAAAACTGCACTTTTAAAATCAGTTGAACGTTCTTGTCTCTGGTAGATGATGTTTATACAATATTAAACTATCTGAAATATATGCGAAATTTCCACGAATATATATATATATATGCGAAAATGATGCGAAAATTCCACGTGCCAAGATATCACCACCATAACTGTGTTCATGGGTTTCACCAAAGCGGTACATCTTCGACCTCGATCTGGTGCACGGGTGACACAGTCGTCTAAGCAGCTTCAATGAAACAATGGAGACTTTCGTCCATCAGGGTGCGAGGATATTATGACATGTTTAATTTCTTGGTTTGTTAGGGTTTCACCAAAGTAGTCCAGATCTAAGACCTGCATCATTTCGGAATTTTTCAACCACATCAATCTTACACGCCGTTATATGATAAAATTGTTGAAAGCGGCGTCAATTTAAACTCACTCACTCACCCCCCTCAATCTCAGGGTACGCACCCATGTTTGGTACTAGTTGTTATTGGAGGAGGCACGTAAAATACGAAGACATAGCGTAACATGCATCATGTATCTAATTAATGGGAGCTTTAACGAGCCAAGAGTCTTTAAGCAAATGTTTACACACTGTATCAATGTGTTTAGATCCTATACACACAAGTAAACGCGCTGTTTGTCCCATAATTTTGACACGTTCGAGGTCTAAACATTGTTTAGGATTGTGTTCAACAGCGTAACGTGTTTAGAGTCTTAATGTGGGAAATATCTGTTGAAATTCATTTTGGGTTATTTAAGAAAAGGTCGCTTTCTATACGCATTTTAGCGTTCAATCGGGATAATGTAAAAAAAGTTGGAGGTTTATCGTTGTTATCAGATACTGTCATTGCGAGCTTTCGTTACCTGAGAGAAATAATATTAGTCAGAGACAGCCTCCGTGGTCTAGTGGTAGAGCGTCCGCTCGGAGAGCGGATGGTAGGGTGTCTGAAGCCTGGCTGCGTCAAACCAAAATACATAAAAAAAATGGTACTTGTTGTTAACCTGCCTGGCGCTCGGCATTAAGGGGCTAAAACAAGGACTGGTCGGCTTTGAGTCAGTATACTGTGTCTGAGTGGGGTATTCAAGTTAAACTGCGGCATGGTATCTTAGTGGGCAGCACTATAAACATCGGCATTAGTCAGACTAGTACAGACACACACACACACACACACACACACACACACACACACACACGTATGATACCCTTAACTTGTTTAGATAGAACATTCCTAGTGTGTATTCCCTTTAGGATTTAAACACATTCCTGAACATGCGTTGTGTGTGTTGTGTTACCATACCAAAAACATTTTTACTGGGAATGGTTACTGAACTGAAATTTCTTTCCTAAACTGTGTCCGTCAGATTCCGGTGGAGACGGGTCTGAGAAATTCCACCTGGACTCCGGAGATGGGAAACTCCTCCTCGCCTGTCCCCTCGATTACGACAAACCCACAGGGGGCGCTGCATACTATGACGTCACCATGAAAGCCGTTGATGGAGGAGTTACGGCCAAGTTTGTTGAGACAACGTTCCGTATTTCCGTGGGCGCCGAAAACGACAATGCACCGAAGTTCGCCGAGTCTCTGTACCAGGCCGTTGTCACAGAGCAGGCCGACATTCACACCTCGCTGTTCTCCGTCGTCGCCAACGACGCTGACGACGATGTGTTAACGTACACGCTGGTGGGAGACGGGACGGACATGTTTGCTTACGACGACCTGAACAATCTTATCACGAGCTCTACCCTAGATTACGAGTCCCACCGATGTTATACGTTTATACTGAGGTAATTTTCCAAGGACAATTTTTCAAAAAATATATCGTTTTATTGCAGTCCTTCGGGTTTTTTTTATAAGCAAAATGTTAAAGCCTGAGAATAGATAAAATACACACGTTTTGGGTTTCCCACCCTTTCATTTTGAAATTTTCGAAGTACATTCAATGACACGGGTAGCCATTGGTCCAAGACCTAACAATTCGATGTGCCGAGTTGCCTCCCTAAGCAATACCAGGATCCGCTGGCAAAGGGTTCGAATTGCAAATTCAGCGGCGATAATCCTCTTGGTCTGTCAACACCTTGATAATAGATGTCACCAAAGTGGAAAACCATGCTTACTCACCATTTTGAAACTTATTACGTTCTGTTCTTTTTTATCCTAGAGTGAATGATGGTTTGCACGAGGTAGATGTACCTGTTAGCATCAACGTGAGCAACGTCATCGACGAGACACCCGTCCTCACCGTGAACACGCCCATCATCCTTTTCGAGGAACAACCTGTTGACACACCGCTAGGGGGTGTGTATGTCGTCACAGACAGGGACGAGGACGACACTTTTACGTACAGCCTCGAAGGTACATACTACATGTGTTCCTCTCCTATTCTGAGCATGGCTACGTTAATCTTATCTCTTATAATCTAAATAACCCCCGTGAAGATCCGGTTTAGAATTGGTCTTCAGCAACCCTGCTTGTTGTAAGAGGCGATTAACGGGATCGGGTGGTCAGGTCATAATATTAACACCCGACAAATCAAGTACAGTTCATTGTACTAACACCCGACAATCCAAGTACAATTCATTGTACTAACACCCGACAATCCAAGTTCAATTCATTGTACTAACACCCGACAATCCAAGTACAATTCATTGTACTAACACCCGACAATCCAAGTACAATTCATAGTACTTACACGTGACAATCCAAGTACAATTCATTGTACTAAAACCCAACAATCCAAGTACAATTCATAGTACTTACACGTGACAATCCAAGTACAATTCATTGTACTAACACCCAACAATCCAAGAACAGTTCATAGTACTTACACGTGACAATCCAAGTACAATTCATTGTTTTAACACCCAACAATCCGAGTACAATTCATAGTACTTACACGTGACAATCCAAGTACAATTCATGGTGCTAACACCCAACAATCCAAGTACAGTTCATAGTGTTACTACAATTCATTATCAGCACTGTGAAAGTTGTCCGAACACTATCCAGAGGTCGGTTGTATCATAACTGATCAGGAGGGGAAATTCCTTGTCATTCTTGTTTGGCAGATTACAACTAGCATTAAACAAGCTGAAATTTTATATTTCAGGTAATCATCGGTTGTGGCCTCTAATCCAAGTACTATTCATACTCAGTAGTCACTGTTAGCATTGATAACACTCCTAAGAGGGCATCACTGCTCAACAAGATATCGTGCTTTAACTATGTGTCCCTTATTTAGATTAAAACTAACGTTCAACATCGTGATATTTGGTAGCGGAAGTTCCTGTTTTTAATCTGTCAGCCATTTGTGAATGAACATTTATTTTCGGGTCTATTCGAGGTGACACGTATTTTCGTGACAAAAGAACGAATCGTAGTCTTCTGCTCTTATTTCCTGACCGTTTTGTATTTCAGGCACCGGAAGTTCCTTCTTCAGCATTGACCCTTCATCTGGTCTGATGACCTTGGCCGAGAGAATGGACAGAGAGGCCGGTTTGACCTACATCACAGACGTGACCTTGAAGGTGACGGACGCTGGCGGCAACGTCGCGTCTGAGGCGCTAATCTTCGACATCGTGGACATCAACGACAACAGTCCTCAGTTCAGCAGCGACGTGATCCACTTGGAGGTCACCGAGAACACCCCGCCAGGTGAGAGACACTGTCTGCTAATGAGGATATTAGGGCAGCTCTGGGACTGTCCCCTGAACTAGGTAGTAGACATTGATCTACAGTGATCTTCAAAATAGGTCCCGATAATAATAATAATAATAATAATAATAATAATAAAAAAATAATAAAAATAAATAAATAATAATAATGATAATGTGGCTTTGCTTTTAGAAAGCAAGAAATATTGATTCTCTATGTAAATATAATGACTCGGTGGACGCTGTAGATTTGGATTCGGGTTTGGGTGGGGATTATAATGAGAAAATGGACAAATACGTCTCATTTCAAGTATCTATTGCCAGATATGCTCCTCAGTACGCTGGAGGTGACTGACGGTGACGCCGGGGACAACGCCAAAGTCGTCGTCTCCATCATCAGCGGCGACGATGACTCCCCGGATGAGAAGTTTCAGTTGATCGGGACTGAAGTGCGAACATCCGGGACCTTTATTGACTACGAGGCTCTGAGTTCTGCCAACTTCCTGTACACCCTAACCGTGCAAGCCGTGGATCAGCCCACGACGGAGGCGGCGAAGACGGCTGTTGCTGTAGTTGTCGTCACAGTAAGTCAGGCGGTGTTTCATCTATCAGTTATTCCTTACGCTTTCACTGCGGACATGGTTATTTACATAAATTGGTGATGGTAATTATGATTATAGTAGTAAACCCAGGGCTTTTCGAACAAAACAAAGCCTTCAAATCATGATAACTGTGGCTTATTAAAATATTTGACTGTTGAATGTCTACACTGAGCTACAGATTTTGCACTTCATGTCAGTCTGTCAATTCGATCATATTTGTGATGACGTCTATGTTACCTGTATATTACAATCATATAGTTTATCGGACTTGTTTTGAGCATAAACATAGCACCATAAAATCTTCAGACAGATCATGTTTGGAAAACCCATGCTTGTCGTAAGAGGCGACTAACGGGATCGGGTGGTCAGACTCGCTGACTTGTTAATGCACTATATCATCTTATTCAAATTCCGTAGATCGAAGCTCATTATGTCAATCAGTGGATTGTCTGGACCATAACGCGATTATTTTCTGCTGAAATATTGCTGAGTGCGGCATTAAAGAACATCCCCTCACCCTTAAAATAAAAAGAAAAAAAAGATTGTTTAACCCCTTATTCATGTGCAATAGTCTGTTTGAACCTGGGGAGGATGGAACGGGTTACGGTGAAAACATGGAGTTGCGTCCCTTATGGGTGCTAGGATCCCAAGATATCTGGATCGACGTCCACGTTCGTTTTTGTTACGATCCTTGGATTGTCAGGACTAACCCCTGTTTGTTGCCGTCTAGGGCTACAGAAGGCCCAGTCATCTGACGCTCCGCATTTCGCTGCGCAGAGTTGCGTCCCTTGGGCATGCTAGAAACATGATTGTGGGTTCGAATCCCGGTTCTCCCTGATTATGTTTCTATGTTTGTCAGCACCATACCAGTGCTCATTGCTTTCACCAAAGTGTCTAAATCCTGCCTTACTTTGGACTTTCCTCCCACATTAAGATGACACGCCTTGATATAACCTGAATGATGTTAAACCCAACTCATTCACACATTCGTTGTCAAGCGGTACCATTTAGACCTCCATCTCTCCGGGCTTTCCCCCCATATTAATCTGACGTAAAACGCAGCGTTTACATTCATCTCACTCACTGGAAGCAGCTGTACCTGAATATTTCCACCCACCAGGTTGTGTCAGAAAATGAGCACACTCCAACGTGGGATACTGCACCGAGTGATATGACTGTCAGTGAAAGCAGGGACGCCGGGTCACAGCTGGGTCACTACACAGCAACTGATGACGATGTAGGCAGAGATGGTGATGTCACATACCAACTTGTTTCCGTCACAGATGGTAAGCTGTTTGACGAGAATTAATTCAGGCAAGGAAGTTAATTGACTATAACCGACCATCACAGATGGTAAGCAAACTGACACTGTTCAATTATTGTTGTTATTATTTTTATTGTTGTTGTTGTTGTTGTTGTAATTATTATTATTATTATTATTATTATTATTATTACACAACCTGTCCTAAGATTCCGGTGGAGACGGGTTTGAAAAATTCCACCTGGACTCCGGAGATGGGAAACTCCTCCTCGCCTGTCCCCTCGATTACGACAAACCCACAGGGGGCGCTGCATACTATGACGTCACCATGAAAGCCGTTGATGGAGGAGTTACGGCCTTGTTTGTGGAGACAACGTTCCGTATTTCCGTGGGCGCCGAAAACGACAATGCACCGAAGTTCGCCGAGTCTCTGTACCAGGCCGTTGTCACAGAGCAGGCCGACATTCACACCTCGCTGTTCTCCGCCGTCGCCAACGACGCTGACGACGATGTGTTAACGTACACGCTGGTGGGAGACGGGACGGACATGTTTGCTTACGACGACCTGAACAATCTTATCATGAGCTCTACCCTAGATTACGAGTCCCACCGATGTTATACGTTTCTACTGAGGTAATTTTCCAAGGACAATTTTTAAAAAAAAATATCTTTTTATTGCAGTCCTTCGAGGTTTTTTATAAAAGCAAAATGTTAAAGCCTGAGAATAGATAAAATACACAAGTTTCGGGTTTCCCACCCTTTCATTTTGAAATTTTCGAAATACATTCAGTGACACGGGTAGCCATTGGTCGAAGACCGAGCAATTCGATGTGCTGAGTTGCCTCCCTAAGCAATACCAGGATCCGCTGGCAATTGGTTCGAATTGCAAATTCAGTGCCGATAATGCGCTTGGTCTGTCAACACCTTGATAATAGATGTCACCAAAATGGAAAACCATGCTCACTCACCATTTAGAAAATTATTACGTTCTGTTGTTTTTTTCCTAGAGTGAACGATGGTTTGCACGAGGTAGATGTACCTGTTAGCATCAACGTGAGCAACGTCATCGACGAGACGCCCGTCCTCACCGTGAACACGCCCATCATCCTTTTCGAGGAACAACCTGTTGACACACCGCTAGGGGGTGTGTATGTCGTCACAGACAGGGACGAGGACGACACTTTCACGTACAGCCTCGAAGGTACATACTACATGTGTTCATCTCCCATTCTGAGCATGGCTACGTTAATCTTATCTCTTATAATCTATTTAACCCCATGAAGATCCGGGTTAGAACTGGTCTTCAGCAACCCTGCTTGTTGTAAGAGGCGATTAACGGGATCGGGTGGTCAGGCTCGGTGGCTTGGTTGTTGCATGTCATCGTGTCCCAATTGCGAAGATGCTCATGATGTCAATCACTGGATTGTCTGGCCCTGATTCGATTATTTACAGCTGGAATATAGCTGGAATATTGCTGAGTGCGGCGTTAAACAACAAACAAACAAAGCTTTGAATAGAGCATTCTAAAATACAGTGTTTCACAGTCTCGGGTACCTGATCATTATAATGACTGCAAAGAGGAGGGACATTTTTATCTAAAATACTTTGATAAATACCGATTCCCACGTGACCTCGGCAAAGCCGCGTGAAAATAACTTCGTCACGTCTTTTCCGCCTGAGGTTTAAACTGGGTCCGATTCAGTGCATAGGTCGAGCCAGGTTATTTCTCGGCCAAATTTCTTGCCAAGACATGACAAAAGATTGTGATTTCACAATGAAAATTCTTTGGACGTGGCAAAAATAATTTCTTTGTTAAACTTAACTTATCTATCATTTCGTTACCCCCTATCCAAACATCCATGATTCATACAACTTCACCTGATATATATACGTCGAGTTGAAAAAAATGTCCTAAGATGTCATAGAAATTGTCACTTCTCGATCCAGTTGCGCCAGACTCAATAGCATGTTCAGCTGCCACCAAGTCAGTAGATAATATTGCCTCGGTGTTGTTGTCATTATAAAGTCATTGGAGAATGGCAATTAATTCAACAGCAAAAACTTAAAGGTGATCCTTGAGGCGAAATACCTCGGCAACAGACAGTTCTGGGATCCAAATGCCCCAGCAGTTCTGTTTTTACAAGGGTCATTAGAAGCATCCGTGAAAGAATATGTAAAGCAAAACACTTCTCAGAAATAAATGCCACTATTGTTTTCGTACCAGCGACCAAGGAATAAATATGCGGTCCTTGTTAAAGAACAAAAAATGACAATAAACAATATTAATATTCACTAGTGATGTCCGCTCCAAGAACTATTCAAATTCAGCAAATTCAAATTCCTTGTTAAAGAACAAAAAATGACAATAAACAATATTAATATTCACTAGTGATGTCCGCTCCAAGAACCATTCAAATTCAGTAAATTCAAATTCCTTGTTAAAGAACAAAAATTGACAATAAACAATATTAATATTCACTAGTGATGTCCGCTCCAAGAACTATTCAAATTCAGCAAATTCAAATTCCTTGTTAACGAACAAAAAATGACAATAAACAATATTAATATTCACTAGTGATGTCCGCTCCAAGAACTATTCAAATTCAGCATATTCAAATTCCTTGTTAAAGAACAAAAAATGACAATAAACATTATTAATTTTCACCAGTGATGTCCGCTCCAAGAACTATTCCAATTCAGCAGACATCTGAACTACCCGTTGGGATTCCGAGTTGGTATTTGTCCCCAGCAAATTTTGCTGGTCGTAAGAGGGTCGAGTGGTCAGGATGGATGAATTGATGACTTCCGGATAGTTTGAACCAATTGCTTTCTGCTGTGATTTGTCCCAGATTGAGAGTCATTTAGCATTCATTATTCAACAAGATGTTATTTGGAAAATACGCTACAGGAAATTCCTATTTTAATGAGATCTGACAAACCACATCATTTGTTTGGATGAAAATTTTTTTTCAGATCTTATCGAGACATCGAATTATTAGCCTCTCATTTTCCTAAATAAATACGAATCATAGTCATTAGCTCGTCTTTCTTGACAAGGTGCCATGTTGTATTTCAGGCACCGGAAGTTCCTACTTTAGCATTGACCCTTCATCTGGTTTGATGACCTTGGCGCAGAGAATGGACAGAGAGGCCGGTTTGACCTTCATCACAGACGTGACCTTGAAGGTGACGGACGCTGGCGGCAATGTGGCGTCTGAGGCGCTCATCTTCGACATCGTGGACATCAACGACAACAGCCCTCAGTTCAGCAGCGACGTGATCCACTTGGAGGTCACCGAGAACACCCCGCAAGGTGAGAGACACTGATCTCTGAGAACATTAGCATATGCGTGTTACAACCAGAGTGTGATACTAACATGCACTGCAGGAGGAGGCTTTGGTGTAACCGACTTCGTCAAATCCGGATTCGACTGTCCGATCTAAATTCTTCCAAAACACGGAAATGTCACTTCAACATCACGGCGGAAAAAAAAACATTATCGAAATTTATCATTGAAGAAAAGCGATTGGATGACTGATTGTTATTTTGTTCATCCTTTATTTTACGTGTGTCTGTCTGTCCGTTTCTCTGTCTCTTTGTTTCTACGTTGTGGATGTGGATGTGGATGTGGATGAGGATTATGATGAGGATGTGGACAAATAAGTCAGTACTTGCGACTCATTTCAAGTATTAAGAACACATTTTTCTGTTGCAAGATATGCTCCTCAGTACGCTGGAGGTGACTGACGGGGACGCCGGGGACAACGCCAAAGTCGTCGTCTCCATCATTAGCGGCGATGATGACTCCCCGGATGAGAAGTTTCAGTTGATCGGGACTGAAGTGCGAACATCCGGGACCTTTATTGACTATGAGGCTCTGAGTTCTGCCAACTTCCTGTACACCCTGACCGTGCAAGCCGTGGATCAGCCCACGACGGAGGCGGCGAAGACGGCTGTTGCTGTAGTTGTCGTCACAGTAAGTCAGCAAAATATCCACATGCATTATTTACACAAATCATGTATATATAGCTGTACGTATATCCTCATAATGATATATGGCCATACGTTGTCCATGGAGTGCGACATCAGGGCCATCCAGTACCCCATGCACAAGATTTCAGTTCTATTTCTCCCAAAGGGTGATTTTGTACCAGGAAATTTAAAAACGCGTATACATTTTGCACGGTCGCCATGTTCTGGTGCATGTTCATAGTGCTAAACAATTCATACCCCGGTTAAAATGATCCATGAACACTCAAATTACATTCTCAGCTTCCTTCGGAGTATACAACTTAAACTGATTAAGGTTTGTAGGTTTGCTGGTTGAATTATCCAGTTCTGACTCCCACAGGATATATTTCTCAGTGTGAGCTCAAACAATAACTCTTCTTTGATACTGCTTTTCTGATCACCCATTGGTCAATTGGCAAATGCGTTAGTGTGAGATTTTAATATGTCAAATCTGACACAAGTGATTCTATTTCCGATAGGGGTAGATTCTCTCTATATAACCAGCTAAATTACTTTGGTCATGTTTCAAAAGTTTTGTCATACTCGTAGGAGGAAGTCATATTTTCGTACATAACATCTCTCAAGCGTTTATAAATCAGAGATCTGTTGATGTTAATGTGAACTGTCTTAACACCGTTAGCCCTACACTGGTATTATTATATAATGGATTTTATAAAAGAACCGATTTGAAGGCCGCGTCACCATTATGATGGCTTACAATGAATGTAGCCATTCATGTCTTGGTTCAAGTGGATAGAGCGTCTGCCCGTAGAGCGGAAGGTCGGTGGGTCGAACCACGAGAGCGTTAGACTTAACGACGTTATAAGATGGTTCTTGTTGTTACCCTGCCTGGCGCTCGGCATTACCGGTATAAAACAAGGACTGGTCGGCTCGGAGTCAGTGTACTGTGTCTGATTGGGGTACCCATGTAAAATTGCGGCATGGTATCTCAGTGGACTAGCAGTATAAAACCGGCATTAGTCCGGACTAGTACAAACAGCCACACACACACGCATGCACGGCGCTTTTTAAACCACATTTCATTTCAACTCCCCTCCCACTTGCTATTTCAGTGCATCAAACGTATTGTGATTTCTCTAAGGTAACAGAACCCTAAATTAAAAACAACAACACACACTTCAGCAAAGATATCTCATTATTCACGTGAGGCTGATTCCATAACAGCCAACAAAATATATATTTTCACCCACCAGGTTGTGTCAGAAAATGAGCACACTCCAACGTGGGATACTGCACCGATTGATATGACTGTCAGTGAAAGCAGGGACGCCGGATCGCAGCTGGGTCACTACACAGCAACTGATGACGATGTAGGCAGAGATGGTGATGTCACATACCAACTTGTTTCCGTCACAGATGGTAAGCTGTTTGACGAGAATTAATTCAGGCAAGGAAGTTAATTGACTATAACCGACCATCACAGATGGTAAGCAAACTGACACTGTCCACTTTGACCAAGAGTTCATTTTGTAAATTATTATTTATTATTTACAGATTAGAATAAAAAAAATGCAGCAAAGAGGGTTTGGGTGATCCTGGCACAGTCAGGCTGGTTAGGCTCATCATCAGCTCAGGGCCCTTGCCCCCTCTACACGCAGCCCAGACAGCGAATGGGACTTCTCCCAGGACTCGCTGCCCAGTCAAACCAAAACCCAGAACTTTTCGGAGAATGTGAAGACTCCCCAACACTACAGCCTTCTGCATTACCCAGATTGTCAGAAGGGCTGTATTCCTGGTAGAAAACCTTGGTACTCTCCCAATGTCAGTCAACAGATTGGGAGGTACCAAACCTAAGGCACCGAGAACAAATGGGAGTCGGACAACTTGGTACTTGGGATGCAAGCGTGACATTTGGAAAGCGAGGTCCACATATTTGCCATGCTTTTCCTCAATCTTGTCAATCACATTAGTGTCAAAGGGGACAGAAAATTCAATGATATAAATGATTTCATTGGATTTATCAAAAAGGGCAGATCAGGTTTGTTGGCCTTGATAGTCTAAGGCTGTAAATGGGCCTATTCTAAAGAATTTTGTGTTTATCATTTTCCATGACGCCCTCTACATATTCCGGGTCGTACCATGGGTCGACTTGTGTCAAGACCACAAGCATGGCGAAGACGGTAATGTTGTTGGACAGTCTCATTAAATTCATTACATAATCTACCTTTCATATTTACATTTTGATGCAAAATCACACATTGATGGTTTCGAGTGGGAAGTGAATGGTCCTGAGCAGCGAACAGAAAGCCTTCAGTTTCACTTTTCAGGCCAGACGACTTCATGCAAACGAAGGACCCTGCAGGATTGCTGATCTTCTCAACACACTGCACAAAAACTCGATGCTGTGGTCGTTCAGAAAGCCTCTCTGGGCCGACTTGATATGGCACTTCGCTTGGTTGACAATCATTTCTGTACCGTCCAACAGTACAGAACCATCAACAAAATCAACACCGACATTGAGATTATGTCCTACATCCTTGGCTCGTTTTAGAAAACTGTGGAATGCCTTGTTTTAATCATGACATAATTATTATTATTATTATTATTATTATAATTATTATTATTGTTATTATTATTATTTCATAACCTGTCCGTCAGATTCCGGTGGAGACGGGTCTGAGAAATTCCACCTGGACTCTGGAGATGGGAAACTCCTCCTCGCCTCGACCCTCGATTACGACAAACCCACAGGGGGCGCTACATACTTTGACGTCACTATGAAAGCCGTTGATGGAGGAGTTACGGCCAAGTTTGTGGAGACAACGTTCCGAATTTTCGTGGGCGCCGAAAACGACAATGCACCGAAGTTCGCCGAGTCGCTGTACCAGGCCGTTGTCACAGAGCAGGCCGACATTCACACCTCGCTGTTCTCCGCCGTCGCCAACGACGCTGACGACGATGTGTTAACGTACACGCTGGTGGGAGACGGGACGGACATGTTTGCTTACGAAGACCTGAACAATCTTATCACGAGCTCTACCCTAGATTACGAGTCCCACCGATGTTATACGTTTATACTGAGGTAATTTTCCAAGGACAATTTTTCAAAAAAACTATCGTTTTATTGCAGTCCTTCGAGTTTTTTTTTATATAAGCAAAATGTTAAAGCCTGAGAATAGATAAAATACACAAGTTTCGGGTTTCCCACCCTTTCATTTTGAAATTTTCGAAGTACATTCAATGACACTGGTAGCCCATTGGTCCAAGACCTAACAATTCGATGTGCCGATTGCCTTCCTAAGCAATACCAGGATCCGCTGGCAATGGGTTCGATAATGCGCTTGGTCTGTCAACACCTTGATAATAGATGTCACCAAAGTGGAAAACCAAGCTCACTCACCATTTTGAAACTTATAACGTTCTGTTCTTTTTTTTTATCCTAGAGTGAATGATGGTTTGCACGAGGTAGATGTACCTGTTAGCATTAACGTGAGCAACGTCATCGACGAGACGCCCGTCCTCACCGTGAACACGCCCATCATCCTTTTCGAGGAACAACCTGTTGACACACCGCTAGGGGGTGTGTATGTCGTCACAGACAGGGACGAGGACGACACTTTCACGTACAGCCTCGAAGGTAGATGCTACATGTGTTCATCTCCTATTCTGAGCATGGCTACCTTAATCTTATCTCTTATAATCTATATAACCCCCGTGAAGATCCGGGTTAGAATTGATCTTCAGCAACCCTGCTTGTTGTAAGAGGCGATTAACGGGATCGGGTGGTCAGGCTCGGTAGCTTGGTTGATGCATGTCATCGTGTCCCAATTGCGAAGATGCTCATGATGTCAATCACTGGATTGTCTGTTCCAGATTCGATTATTCACAGACCACCGTGATATAGCTGGAGTATTGCTGAGTGCGGCGTTAAACAACAAACAAACAAACACACAAACAAAGCTTTGAATAGAGCATTCTAAAAAATAGTGTTTCACAGTCTCGGGTACCTGATCATTATAATGACTGCCAAGAGGAGTGACATTTTTATCTAAAATACTTTGATAAACACCGATTCCCACGTGACCGCGTCGAAGCCGCGTGAAAATAACTTCGTCTTTCCGTCTGAGTCAAGTTATTCCTCGGCCAAATTTCTTGCCAAGACATGACAAAAGATGGTTTCACAATGAAAATTCTTGGACATGGCATAAATAATTTCTTTGTTAAACTTGACTTGGAAGCTTTTCTGTCAGTTCGTTATCCCCTATCAAAACATCCATGATTCATACAACTGCACATGATATATATACGTCGAGTTGAGAAAAGTGTCCTAAGATGTCATAGAAATTGTCACTTCTCGATCCAGTTGCGCTAGACTCAATAGCATGTTCAGCTGCCTCCGAGTCAGTAGATAATATTGCCTCGGTGTTGTTGTCATTACCCGCTAATTGATAGGAGAATGGCAATACATTCAACAGCCAAAACTTAAAGGTGATCCTTTAGGCGAAATACCTCGGCAACAGACAGTTCTGGGATCCAAATGCCCCAGCAGTTCTGTTTTTACAAGAGTCATTAGAAGCATCCGTGAAAATATATGTAAAGCAAAACACTTCTCAGAAATAAATGCCAATATTTTATTCGTACCTGCGATAAATACCATAAATATGCGGTCCTTGTTAAAGAACAGAAAATGACAATAAACAATATTAATATTCACTAGTGATGTCCGCTCCAAGAACTATTCAAATTCAGCAAATTCAAATTCCTTGTTAAAGAACAAAAAATGACAATAAACAATATTAATATTCACTAGTGATGTCCGCTCCAAGAACTATTCAAATTCAGCATATTCAAATTCCTTGTTAAAGAACAAAAAATGACAATAAACAATATTAATATTCACTAGTGATGTCCGCTCCAAGAACTATTCAAATTCAGCAAATTCAAATTCCTTGTTAAAGAACAAAAAATGACAATAAACATTATTAATATTCACCAGTGATGTCCGCTCCAAGAACTATTCCAATTCAGCAGACATCTGAACTACCCGTTGGGATTCCGAGTTGGTATTTGTCCCCAGCACATTTTGCTGGTCGTTAGAGGGTCGCGTTGTGAGGATGGATGAATTGATGACGTCCGGATAGTTTGAACCAATTGCTTTCTGCTGTGATTTGTCCCAGATTGAAAGTAAAATCAGCAGTCATTATTCAACAAGATGTTATTTGGAAAATAAGGTACAGGAAATTCCTATTTTAATGAGATCTGACAAACCACATCATTTGTTTGAATGAAAATTTATTTTCAGGTCTAATCGAGACATCAAATTATTAGCCTCTCATTTTCCTAAATAAGTACGATTCATAGTCATTAGCTCGTCTTTCTTGACAAGGTGCCATGTTGTATTTCAGGCACCGGAAGTTCCTACTTTAGCATTGACCCTTCAACCGGTTTGATGACCTTGGGACAGAGAATGGACAGAGAGGCCGGTTTGACCTTCATCACAGACGTGACCTTGAAGGTGACGGACGCAGGCGGCAACGTCGCGTCAGAGACTCTCACCTTTGACATCGTGGACATCAACGACAACAGTCCACAGTTCAGCAGCGACGTTGTTTATGTGAATGTGTCTGAGAACACAGCATACGGTTAGAGATTGAGACAATTTTCCTTAATATACTCAATCGCAAAAAAACCGTCACTTCATGAAAATAATTTATGAAAGTTTCCCATTAGGATATCAAATGATAATGCATTTTTTGGAGGTATCTCGTTTTTCACATTAGTGAATCCAAAACTAATGTAAACGACCTAAAAGTGACAAATATGGATTAAGTGGGTGGCAAAAACGCAGATTAACAAACAAAATGGTACAAAGTCACGAATGCTTTCCGTGAAAATTAAAATGCATTTGCGTTTCCTTGTGCCTTTTCTGATAAACGGCACCCCAATACGTGGATCCAACATTCTTGTATCGATACTAGCGCCATGCCAAGACTTACGAAGAATCACAGAAACCCGGTCTTCGGAAGATTGCATGCTGTTGGTTACCTGGTATCGTTGCTGTAATCTCTAAATGGTTCTCGCGTGGACATTAAAAGCATTGGCACCCATTCGTGCAGGCTTGCCAGCATGGAGTAGTCAAAACGTCCTGTCGTTTCTTTCTAACGTTACTTGAATAATTAAAACCACGTTTTGCATACGAATATATCCTTTCATTCTTCAGACCAGGTGATTAAGGAGCTGACGTGTGTTGACAATGACGTAGGCGACAACGCAAACATTGTTTACAGCATCGTCAGCGGTGACGACAGTGCTATCAAATTCAAGATGAACGGCGCTGCCCTGGTAACGGAAGATACCCCTTTGAACTACGAGTCTCTCGTGGCTACTGATTTCATGTACATCCTCATTGTGAAGGCTGAAGATACTCCATCAGAAGAAGCATCGAAGTCAAACGTTGCCGTGGTCGTTGTCAAGGTATCAAACCCCAAATGTTTGTTATCCCCCAATAACCATATCAACTAATTATGCTCCTAGATGAAATCGATGATGCCGTCATCAGTCGTGACTATGACAGCCTTTTATTCGGAATCAGCTTATTGTGGTACGCCGCAACTTAATGTTTAGAGTTGTGTTCCTTAGCAACAGGATCTGCGCGTCGCTGGTTTGAATCCCAGCTAAATCCGATTATGACCCTTGGAATGTCAGCCAAGAACCGGTCACGTTGGGCATTCATTCAACTTGTTGTTTGTTTGTTTGTTTGTTTGTATGTTTGTTGTTTGACGTTGCACTCAGCATTATTCAAACTATGCGACGGCGGTCTGTAAATAATCTGGACCAGACAATCCAGTGATTGACATCATGAGCATCGATCAACGCAATTTGGATACGACGACATGCATCAATAAAAACAGCCAGTCTGATCATCCGATCCCGTTACTCGCCTCTTACGACAAGCTTGGGTTGCTGAAGACCTATTCTACGCTGGATCTTCACGGGGGTCAACCAACATGTATCAGATACGCCAGGCAATAAATGAAATATCGTTCACAACAGCAGTCATCCCGACCCACTCATATGCTACTCAGAGAAAAACATGATAACCCTATTCATATGAACGAATCGGGTGGTCCTTAACCTTTTTCGAGTGGTATATTTCATGTCAGTCTTCATTAAACCAGATTTTTAAAATGATTATCCAGGTTCTGCCAGAGAACGAGTTCAGCCCACAGTTCACTTTGCCCGCCGAAACATCCATGACAGTAACGGAGACGACGAAGCCACCGTATCTCCTGACCACGTTCAACGCTGTTGATGAAGATGCGGGCGCCGATGGGGATGTGTCTTATGAAATACTTTCTGTTACAGACCGTAAGAATTATTACTGCAAACCCTTTTACTGATAAGACCATATTTCTTTAATTGTTGAATTGATATATTATATTAATTCACTTATGAAATAATTTTAAAGTTTGTGTGTTTATTTCAATTCCTGCAATCTGATTGGCTGAACGGATAATTTCTTTGCATTCTTTTCCCAAACGATGTAGGACAATAACCCCGCCTATCGGACGACTATCAGTGGAAGGAGAACTGTATTCTACTCATATAGTATTAGAGATTTCGTGGATTCATACAGTTTGCACATCGTTTTTGACCTCAACGATCCAAAAGAGGATACAATCAGTCATCAAATGTAATTAATATATCACGTGACAAAAATGAGGAACCTCGATTATCCGAACACTTTGTCGTCCATCTAAAACGCCGTGAGCCCGGTTGCACGAAGCTGTCTCAGAGCTACAATGAGTCTAGTGTAGAGACCACACTTGTACACTTGTCTTAACACTAAGCTCTATTTGTGCATGCGGGTCCAGGTCAGTGCAAAATCTACCGGAGACCTTGTTTCAATGACCCATATGGGGGCATTTTGTAACTTATTATTGAACATATTATTATTTAAAATTCCTATCAGCAATGACTGCGAGTACTTTTCTACAAATATTAGCTTCCGTGGTGTTGCGGCCGTCAAATCGTCTGTTTCAATCCGAGTTGGTTATAGTGATTTGATACCTCTGATTAACCAGTCAGAATTGATTATTTTCCAGATTCATAATAAAATGACATTTATGTGTCGGGAGTATTTCTAAACGCGTAAAACTAACGAACCTTTCAACCTGATGAAATCATTCACATGAAAAAGAATATTACACGTCCCATTTTAATTCTGGAAACCCATTTGTCCAGAAACTCTACGGTCTTTGCCCAGTCTCGGTCAAAGGTATTTACAAAATTAAACATGCTGTTTTCATGGGAACACACTAAGGAAGAAAAAAATGAAAAAAGTATTGTTCAAAAACACAATATTTATACCATGTCGCCCATGTTTTTGTTTCGCAAATACATAAATGTTATCCTTCAAGTATAATGACACAAAATTTAACTCATTTTAACTTAATTCTACGATTTTATATCGATATTGAAACATTTCGCGAGAAAAATGGCCAAATGGCGTGGATCATTGATTATTCTCAGGATTGTCTGGCTCGGAATCGATTGTTTACCATTCTTTGTTTGTTGTTTAACGCCGCACTCAGCAATATCCCAGCTATATAATCGAGTCTAGACCAGACAATCCAGTGACTGACATCATGAGCATTGATCCACGCAATTGGGATACGGTGACTTGCATTAACCACGTCAGCGAGACCTGACCACCCGATCCCGTTAGTCGCCTCTTACGACAAGCGTATAGTCGCCTTGTACGTTGCTGAAGACCTATACTAACCCGGATCTTCACGGGTAGATTATTTACCTACCGTCGTCATATAGCTGGAATGTTGCTGAGTGCGGCGTTAAACAACAAATCATGTTAGCTTCAAAGATGTGCAGAGTAGCGTCCCTTTGGCACGCCCGAAACCTATGATTGTGGGTTCGAATCCTTCTATGTTTATCAGCACCATACCCGTGTCCGTGGGTTTAACCGAAGTGGTAAACGTCTGAGACTTGCATCACTTCGGGCTTTCCTCCAACATTAAGCTGACACGCCGCGATATAACTGGGAAACTTTTAAAAGCAGCTCATGATACTGATCACTGGATTGTCTGGTCCAGACTTGATTGTTTACATGCTGTCGTCGTAATGCAGGAGTATTGCAACAAAGAAACTTTTTTTTATGAAACGCTTCCTCTTTTCGCGAAACCGAGTGTCATCACTGAGGATTTCAGTAATCCAGTCATGTAATTTTCATCACAATTTTGCCTTTGACGCCTTATAGAATCTGCTTCGGTAGATCATCGAGACTATTCGATATTATTCGAGACTATTCGAGATTATGCGAGATAATTCGAGATTAATCTCTGGCGTTGATATTTTGAACTTACCGAATCATGTTTTTTCACACAGCTATGGGAGACTCGGCTCTTGATAAGTTCCTCATCAATCCCGTGTCTGGTGAGCTTCGATTGAACGACTTTCTGGATGTGGACACAGCCACGGGCGGTACTGACTCTTACAACATCGTTGTCAAGGCAACAGACGCCGGCACCACACCCATGAGCACGAACAGAGATTTCCTCATTACAGTAGAAAACGAAAACGACAACGCACCACTATTCCTAAATTTCCCGGCCTCCATTGATGTAGCCGAGACCACGGATATTGGTCATGCTCTTCTGACGTTGACTACGGAGGACAACGACGGGGATGATGTTGTGGCAAGCATCGAGGACGGAGATAAAACGCTGTTTATCATCAGCGGAAATAACGTCATTCTGGAACAACCGTTAGATTTTGAAACTTCACAGTGCCATACCATTGTTGTTGGGTACGCATGATGCAAATCTTTGAATATTGTTTCAGCAAATTCAGAAAGAGTCCGACCATTTAATATTCTGGAAATGGAGGTATCGGAGGCTTATGTGTGATTTTATTCTTGCATTGATTTTTTTTGGTTTAAATACTGAAAAATCCCATTTGCCCACATGATTTACATTATTTAGAAATAAATCGTACACTAGCTCAGGAATATTACGGCACCATTTGACGTATTTGAGATATGGATGACGGTACTATTATTGCCACCTTATTATTTGACAAACTTCTTAAAATGTGAACAAATTTCATTATAAAAATGATTATTTTATATATATATATTAACATATTTAGTGTCCTTTTAAATGTGATTAATAAGATTAAAGAAATCAATGTTAAGGTCAAGACCTAACTTAAGAGGCTTTTTTAAAACTTGTTCTTTCAATGTATCACAATGTTATACAGCACAAATTAAATATTTTCAAACGGGGCTTGTTTACTGATTCTGACAGTGTAGGATAATATATATTTAAATACCACGTAAGGCGTTTTGATTTTACAAAGCCCATTCTGTCGGTCGATATCAAAGATTGGTGTAAGACTCACAGAGACTATCATTCGTAAGACGTATTCAATCACAATTCATATATTAGCATATTTGGTTTGCATACCCCCTCAATAATTTACCTTTTTATCTCTCATTTGTAGAATATCAGATGGTACCAATAAAATCAACCGGACATTGGTTATCAAGGTAACTGACGTCATAGACGAGACGCCATCAATCGTAACCTTGACCCCAGTTGACGTCACGGAAGAACTGCCAGTTGGTACAACTGTGGGTGGTTTGTTCCTCTTGACCGACCTTGACCGTGGTGATTCTCACACCTTTACTTTGACAGGTAAATGACCTTTCATGACCCTTTGACCTTGCTGCATTCATTTATGGATACGTTTGGGCAAAGGCAGAAAGATTTAATGTTTTATTTTGCATTTGCATGTTGGTTTCAATACGAAATGTCAAAAAGATTAATTCTTTTGCTATCGCTGATACATGCCCCAATCTGGCCTGCCTTCGGAATTAGGAGTTACGTCCCTTTGAAATGATGTAGTCTCCTGTTATCACAAACTATAATTATCTGAAACATTGCAAATTACTAGCTGAGTACTTTATGGTTTCAATTATGATCGACCCTTCTGATACATCCAAAACTGATGATTAAAACAAATTGTGGCCCTTACAAAACATTACTTCATAGTCCTCAAGTATTAAACTTGGCTCCGTCTTTACGCCGATTAGTCTAACCCTGTATCAAGGCGTACAGCGCTCGCTACAGAAGTGATGCCATTGGCCTATCTGCTAAAAGCGATCTCATCTTCACGAATTCACTCACTCAGATTCTTGAAGGCGACTACTGGCAGTCGTAGGACTTGATGTGAGTCGGTTTGGGTTAACGCCGCATTTTTTGTTTTCTGTTTTGTTTGTTGTTTAACGCCTCACTCAGCAATATTCCAGCTATATGACGGCGGTCTGTATATAATCGTGTCTGGACCAGCCAATCGAGTGATTGATATCAAGAACATCGATTCGCGCAGTGGGGATGTGATAACATGCATCAACCAAATCACCGAGGCTGACCACCCGATCCCGTTAATCGCCTCTTACGACAAGCATAGTCGCCTTTTACGGAAAGCATAGGGTTGCTGAAGACCTATTCTCTACCCGGATCTTTCAGGTCAGTATTACAGTAACATCCCGGCGTGTTAGCTTGATGTGGGCGGAAAGCCCAAGCTGATGCAGGGTTTGCCTCTTGGATGAAACCAGCGAGCACAGACAACCCCAGAAACAATCAGGGATTCGAACCCACGATCATAGGTTTCTGGCACGCCAAAGGAACTCAAGTCTGCACAGGGAATTGCGACGCCTTAGAAGACCAACCATGCTCCCTGTAGAGCTAAGATTGTTTATGAAGCACGACCAAAAAGACAAAACTTGACAGTCTGATCTCCAATCTGTGCTCTGTTTTGATAGAGACGTGTTCAAATGCTACTTGTAAAAGTCTTCCCCCTCGTTGCGTATTACAGGTGATGACAGTCATTTCTTCAACATCGATGCGGACTCAGGTCAAGTATCTATTGCTGAGCGAATGGACCTTGAATCTATGTCAGGCACAAACGTCCTTGACCAGCTGATCTTGACTGTAACGGACACTGGCGGTTTCCAAGCAACCGCTGATCTCAGTGTTGTAGTTGTGGACATAAATGATGCAACGCCTGTCTTCGCTGAATCTGTTTATAAAGTGAACGTTTCGGAGGGTTCTCCAAAAGGTACGATACAGAAAGTATGTAGAAAGCAAATACAAATGTTCCTGTATGTAGTTCGTTTTTAGATCACGTGTTACTTCAGGTCTTCCAGCCTTTGATCATCACTCGATGTCTTCCTTTAATTACCATTTCGAAATAAACGTCTGAAATCAGTAATTCTAAAGTGAAAGACAATGCAGCGGAACCTCGGTAACTCGATATCCTGAGGATAATCAAATACATGTCGAGTCAACCGTACTTCGAGACTATAGTGCCATTGGGATATGTGTGGGATTATAAAGTTATATTGTCTGAAAGGATGCATTAAGACAATGGCGTACGAGTTAATAAATTTGTTTCATATTAACATCAGTGGTGTTAGTGGATCTTGTCGCCACTGACGCCGACTCGGGAACAAATGGCAACATCAGCATGCAGATCACAGCCGGCGATGACCCGGTGGCCCCCAGGTTCGAACTGAGCGGTACACAGTTATCTTCCCTTGACAACCTTGACTATGAGTCTCTAGCGGACACCCAGTACATGTTCCTCCTGACAGTGGAAGCGACGGACTTGCCGAACAAGGAATCGCCCAAAACAGGTGTCACTATGGTGGCCGTGACGGTGAGGAATGACAACAGTCTGTTTCGTCTGCACATTTGACGTTATACCAATCTAATTAAAATCAGATCTTAGTTCTCGCCACATCCCTTTACGGGTCACTTGAGAACGACCTTTCTCGAACTTTGACCGACCCATGAAATGACTAACAAGAAGTCAACAGTAGCCAATCATAAAGTACCTTTACGGCACTAGTTTGAAACTGGCCATTTTCATTACAGGGAACGTTTTACAATAATATCGATTCAAAATTTGAAAATTAACTAAACAGAAGTCAACATTAGCCAATCATAAAGTAGCTAACGGCACTAGTTTCAAACTGGCCACTTTCATTACAGGGTACGTTTTAAAATAATATCGATTCAAAATTTGAAAATTTGAAAATTCTGGACTGTCTTACAGATGGCCATTATTGTATGGCACAACGTCCCACAGTCTATGGGAAGTCTCGTCCGTTTAAAGCGAGAGATAGAGGATGATATTGACAGAACCAGTCGCACGGCCGTAACTGTCGTTCGGAATACCCCGTGTTAACCTTTCCGAGGTTGCGTGATTAGAAAACACATACCGACTGTCACTTTCCATCTGGTAAGCGACGCCCTGATTGGTCGGATAAAAGGTCGTTCTCATGTGATCCGTAATGGGATGTCCTCCGACCTTTGTTTAGCAGTAGCGGAAAATAAGAGCTGATTTTAATGAGACTTACATATATAATGCTTTATCGTTATTACCACACTAATATACAGTCTATGGAATTTTTTATTACGCCACACATTTTCCCATCTAAAATTAAATATATTTTCTTCCTGATGCTGATTTTGCTGGCTAGACTTGCTTGAATATATATCTAAATTGGTTTTGTTATCACATGTAACAAATGTTATATTTGGGACAACACTTTCTGAGTAAAGTTCAAATTCTCGTACTTTGGTTTTGAGTTGAGCCTCTCCGGGATTCGAACCCATACTGTCAGAGTGAGGCACCTAATCGCCAGCACACAAAGTCAGCGATCTAACCCACTCAGCCACCGAGACTTCCACAAAAATGAAAGTCCGACAACTGGTGGTCATAGGGGGTTGTTGAAAAACATATCGTAATGCAAAGACGGGTTTTTGAGTAAAAATAAGGACATAATCATTTAAAGAAAGGCCAAGTGTGTGTGTGTGTGTGTGTGTGTGTGTGTGTGTGTGTGTGTGTGTGTGTGTGTGTGTGTTTGTGTGTGTGTGTGTGCGTGCGGCGCCAGTGAAGACGACCTGATCGATAATCAAGATCGATATTGTAACAAAACGGGTCTTTCTTCGCGAAGTGCATCAAATTGATTAAATACATGAAAAGCTTTTGAAAACTTATGTTGGCGGCATGTTGACAGTACACATGCTTTGCAAATCCTGCAATCAACCGAAATGTCGGTTTCGTTACGCGAGTTTGATTGGACCATGCATAGACACGTTAATCCAGCCAAAATTATAACTCCATAATACCAGCCTAGTTCGGCAAGGGTGGAAACTGGACCTTTATAGTCAGTTGCCTCCCTTGCCTGGGAAGATGCTTGTAGCAGTGACCGGAAGCAAGTATATATTGTGTCTCTAACTAAACTCCCCGGCCCCCTGAATAGAAAATGATTACTTATATGTACAAACAGGACATATTCGTGTAAAGACAGTCATGCATCAGGAGTTAATGGTCAAGTTCCATGACGCCAACTCCAGAAGATATGCTCTCTCTTTCAGGTATTGCCAGTGAATGAGTTTGCCCCAGACTGGGCAACGTCCTTGTCTTTGACTGGTTCTGCTCTTCCTGACCTCACCATGCTGGAGAACGCCACCGTAGGGTCCGACCTCCTCACGCTGGAGGCGACAGATTCCGACCAGGGAGCCGACGGTGACGTCACCTACATCGTCACGTCCGCCATCACAAGTAACGTTTTATAGAAAGGGATCAGCTGAGTAACTGATTTTTTTCAGCTTTACATCTTTCTGATTTAAAACATTTCTAGTTCTCTCATGCGTCACGAGTGGTCAAAATGTCAAAGGCGCCGCTATTGGCAGTTTGCAGTATGCACCCACTGGCGATGCCCAAATCTACAGATCTTGGGTTCGAACCCCAGAATCGTCCTGACTATGATATGAATGTCAACACCAGCATGACCAGGACTTGGTTTAACCAAATGTTAAATTCTACGATCTGCATAAATTGGTTTTTCATCATGTTGACGCAATGGAGTATAGTGAGTGAGTGAGTTTGGTTTAACGCCGCTTTTAACAGTATTCCAGTTATATCACGGCGTGTCAGCCTAATGTGGGAGGAAAGCCCGAAGTGATGCAGGTCTCAGACGTTTACCACTTCGGTGAAACCCACGAACACGGGTATGGTGCTGACAAACCTAGAAACATAATCGGGGAGAACCGGTATTCGAACCCACAATCATAGGTTTCTGGCATGCCCAGTGGACGCAACTCTGCACAGCGAATTGCGGCGCCTTAGACGACTGGGCCACCCGTGACCCCCAATGGAGTATAACGGAAATATACTGCCTCAACGCATTATTTTCAATGAATAGTGTCTTATAGTCAAGGTTTGTAAAAGACACCGGTTTAGTGTATGATGTTTTCACCAACCCATGCTTGTTGTAAGAGGCGACTTTGTTGATGCATGTCATCGTATCCCAATTGCGTAGAGCAATGCTAATGTTGCAATTTCTGGCAGATTCGAATATTTACCGACCGCCGTCCTATAGCTGGAATATTGCTGAGTGTGACGTTCAAGAAACAAAGAAAAATAAACAAAAGGGTATGATGTCAGAGAACGTCCTTTTCAGTATTTTAGCGTTTATGTTTGTTTGTTTCAGACACTGGAGAATCAGCGGAAGGACTGTTCACTGTGAACCCAGTCAGCGGAACGCTCCGCACTGCCGGCTATCTGGACCGTGACGTCACTACGGGAGAGATGTACTACGACCTGACCCTCACAGCCAGAGACTGGGGCGACCCCTACAAGGAGACGTCAGCAACGCTCAAGGTCATCCTCGACAACGTCAACGACAACGCCCCTGAGTTTACCCTGTCGGAATATCAGATTGAAGTTCCCGAATCAACGGCTGTGGACACAGCAATATACACGTTTACTGCCGCTGACGTCGACGGCGATGTCGTCACGTACTCTATAAAGGAAGGCGACACAGACATCTTTGATGTTCAAGGAAAATCTTTAGTGACTCGTATAGCACTGGATTATGAAACAGTGAGCTGGTACTCGTTGTTAGTCGAGTAAGTAACTTGAGGCCTGATGTATAATTAGATTCAGGTGACGTTGGGGTTTAACGTCGCAACTATTTCACATATATAGCGCATACGTGCGAGCATGGCTGCTTGTACTAGTCCGGACTAACGTCGGTTTCATAATGCTAGCCCAATGAGATACCATGCTCAGGGCTGAAAAAATCCACTCGTCCTGACGAGTGGCAGCATGTGCAGGGCGAGAAATAAATAAAAAAACACTCGTCTTACCGGGCGAGTACAGATATTTCAATCGTATCAATTCATCTCTAAACGATTTCAATAAAGTGCAACTAATTTCGAACCTAAAATTCAGCTTTATCTCCTGCATGATGCCTTATTTAAAACGGACACAGTATACTGACCAGTCCGTGTTTATCCCTAAATGCCAAGCGCCAGGCAGGGTAACAACAAGTGCCTTAATTTAACGTGTTTTGGAATGACGGGGCCGGGGATCGAACCACTTTCAGGGAAGATGTTGTTATGGAACGTTTGGTATTATGGCGTATTCGGAGTTTGGTTAAAATATAAACAATTTTTTACAAGAAAATAATCGTTAAACGTGCGCAAGGGCCCGAAAAGAAGTGATTTCAATACATTTTTGCGTTGAGGAGATACAGACGTTAATGCCGGCGTGCACAGTGTGTAAATCCTCGTAGCGGGTTAAACGAAGTGTGCACATCGGAGAAGAATACGAAATCAGTAACAGTTCAACGCAATAATGCAATAACAAGCGTTAATTTCTAGCTTCGCATGAACACCAACGTTGTATTTCAGAGCATCGGATGGCCTCTATACGACGACGAACCTTCTCCTTGTAAAAGTGACAGATATCATTGACGAAAAACCAGTCATAACAGTCAGCAACCCAGTCACCGTGCTTGAGGAGATGCCTATCGGGACTGACGTCAGCTGGACGTTTGACGTCACAGACAAGGACGCCACAGACTACCTTCTGTATTCTCTAAGTGGTAAGCCCCCGTGAAGAGTGAGTTAGTGTGTCAAGTCATAATCAAGCATATGAGTCCTAGCACACTGTTTTAGAGTCAAAAGATTCCACAGTCTAAACACATGTTTAGGAAACGTGTCGGACATCTTGAAATTGGCGGCCATCTTGAATATTTGTACATTTGTCAAAAGTCAAAAACATTCAGTAGCTATCGTGAACTACTTTTTTTAGAAACATAGTATGGCCCTAACTAACATATGACTTACTCAGGGAAACTAAACTTTTATTTACCTTTTGCATGTGATGTTTACGAATTACAGCTCACCAAAGTCACTGAAACGGACGTACAATGTCCACAAAAAGATGATTTAAACGTAATTGTTTGCCGATGCTATTTCCTCCACTAATCCCGACCTGCTGAGTTACCTGTGATCATCAAAATGTTAAATACACTGTTGTTTGTATGAAAAGATATATAAAAGTAGTTCTAAATGAAGAATTTTGAATACCTACAGGAATTGATAAAGATTATTTCAATATCAACCCTGACACCGGAGAATTGACCGTTGCTATGCGACTAGATAGAGAGGTCAAGGCCAACATCGACCTTACTCTTCAAGTAGAGGATTCATCTGGCCTTTTTACCGAAGCGGACATGCTCTTCACTCTCGCCGACGTTAACGACATGGCGCCGTCGTTTAATGCTAACACCCACGTTGTGTACACTACGGAGGGACAAGGCGATGGTTTGTTTGTTTGTTTTTGTTGTTGTTTAATGCCGCACTCAGCTCTGTGACGGCGGTCTGTAAATAATCGAGTCTACACCAGACAATCCAGTGAATGACATCATGAGCATCGATCCACATAATTGGGATACGATGACATGCATGAACCAAGTCTAACCCGATCCCGTTAGTCGCCTTTTACGACAAGCATGGGTTGCTGAAGATCTATTCTACCCCGGGTCTTCACGGGTCCCACGGGTAAAAACATAAACAATGCTGTACATTTTGAAAGTATTGATGATTTTACTACATATTCACATATGCATATTATATATCGAATTGATTCCACAACTAGATGATTCTGTCACGGATAAGGGAAACAACCCACTTCATGGTTTGCTAAGACCAATGCTAACCCAGATCTTCACAGAGGCTCAGGCACCCTATTCCAGAAGTACTATTAAGTCTGTGCAGGGCCGACATAACTGAGTGTAGCGAATATGGTTTTATGAGGCCTTCAACAAGATTCCTGAAATGACGGACACCAGAAATGGACTTTACACATAGTAACCGGGAATCTAACTCAGATCTTAGGCGTGACAAGCGAAGCCACTTGTCTACCCCACTGCCCCCGACATACATAAAGTTTGGTCAGTTACTGCATTGCTATGATGTGTCATCCACCACTCTCTGTCATAAGACCGCCACCGTGGTCTAGTGGTAGAGCGTCTGCCCTGAAAGCGAAAGTTTTGTGGTTCGATTCCCGGCATACAAAAATGTATTAAAAGATGGTACGGTAACCTGTTTTTACCCTGTCTGGCGCTCGGCATTAAGGGGCTAAAACAAGGACTGGTCGGCTCGGAGTCAGTATACTGTGTCCGAGTGGGGTATTCATGTTAAACTGCGGGATGGTATCTCAGTGGGCGAGCACTATAAATTTGGCAGTAGGACTAGTACAAGCAGACACACACACACACACACACACACACACACACACGCACACGCATGCATGCACGTCGCTATATAAGTACAATAATCTTGAACGCGACGTTAAACTCCATTTGACCTCACCACAAACAAAATGTCATAAAGAAGCATCTATGTGAATATTTGTAAATAAACACATTTTATGTAATGACATGTTAAATATTTCAGTTTTATGTATTATCAATATATTTTACATCTTTCCTTCAAAGTGGATCTGATGACGTTAGTTGTTACTGATCAAGACGAAGCAGACAACGCCGTCTTTGACGTCACTATAACTTCCGGTAACGATGGCGGCGAGTTCCGGTTGGATGGCCTCGTTCTGAAATGCGACAGCTCGATGATCGACTACGAGACCGCCTCAGTGAACAACTACACCTACATCTTGTCTGTACAGGCTGTGGATAAGCCCACTGATGTCAGCAGTCTGACTGGGTCGACCGTTGTCATCGTTCATGTAGGTGGCGCTGATCGATGTCGGCCATCCATTTCTGTTTTGCCCGATTATTTTTTCTGTTTGTCGTTTTCTTCTCGGGGAGAATCAATAATGTCTAATTTGATAAAAAGAGAGGACACGATCGAACGTTGCTACAATTTGAAATAGACCCTCTCAGTTTGTGAGTGATTTTAACGTTGCTTAAAATTGTACAGTGTCTAATTCTAGACTGGTATTTAGAAATAATGAAATAAAGTTATGTTGTTAAAAATATATATTTATTTTCAGAAAAAAATAATATCCAAATGGAGCCTAGAGCAATGCTTACTTTCAGTCTTGAACCGAGGCAATCTAGACTTGCCAAATTAGACTAGTGGGATTCAGTATTTAATTTATTCTCTAGGGTCTGGGAGACAGACTATGTCTCAGTCATAAACAAGTGCTGTTGCTATAGTCGGATATAGGCTAAATAGGTTAAAAATCCCCATGACTGTCACGAGAGTCGACGTGGGTGTTTAGAATGTAAGGCTGATTGCGTGTCATGGTAGCCCGTCCCGCCCAGTTCGGGAAGGGAGGAAACTTGACTTTTATAGTCAGTTAACTCCCTTGCCTCGGAAAATGAACGTTTTCACGAACGATGAAAATTGCAATTTTAGTGTGACAAAATGAAAAATCTTTTCTCCATTCACACAGGTTCAACCCCAGAACGAGTTCGAGCCTGCGTGGGAGTACCCCGTGCTGGACGTGGATGGGCGTTTCCCACAAATACATGTCGACGAGAACATTGCAACCGGATATGTCGTCATCACCTTCGACGCGAGAGATCAGGATGCTGGGATTGATGGTGACGTCACATATGACATCATTTCGGCTACGGATGGTAGGTCGATGTACACGGGGGACCATAATTCTTGTTTCTGGATTAGTCTGTGTTATGGGCACAGGGGCCGACCATTTGATATTCTTGATATTCTTGGAAAATTCGTGAAAAGATAATTATGCTTCAGACTGTTCGTTACAATTACAATGTGATATTGATTGAGTATTGCTAAAAGCGGCATATATAAAACTTCACTCACTCACTCACTCATGCTATGTAAGTACAATAATCTTGAACACAATTTCACCCCACCTCACCCAGTCGTTTTGTCTCCTTCCAAGGTATTGTTGGAATATTGGTAAAAGTAAAACCAAACACACTCACTCTTAAGTCTTAAGTCATGTCTTTTCCTCTTCGTTAAAGTGGAATCTGTAACCGAGATATCCTGTGACCATTCACATTCTTATTAGACCCTTGAAGACCCGGGGTAGAATGGGTCTTCAGCAACCCATGCTTGCCGCAAAAGGCGACTATGCTTGTCGTAAGAGGCGACTAATGGGTGGTCAGGCTTGCTGACTTGGTTGATGCATGTCATCGTATCCCAATTACGGGGATCGATGCTCATGAAGTCAATCACTAGATTGTCTGGTCCAGACTCGATTATTTACAGAACACCGTCATATAGCTGGAATATTGCTGAGTGCGGCGATAAACAACAAACAAGCACATTTTCATCAATATCAGATCTGTGAGTCCCGAGGCATTACCTCTTACCATCACGTCACCTCCTGGAGGGTTTTGTCATATCATGACGGAGAGAAGGGTGAAATATTTGATTTTAATGCATTTAACTCATGACGATACATACACAATCGTCATGATATACTTTAAAAAATAAAATCCCCCACTTGACAGAAAACAACATTGACAGAAGCAACCTTTTCACTCTGGACAACAACCAAGGCATACTTCGAACATCCGGGCAACTTGACTTCGACCAATCAACAGGTGGCTTTGAGTCCGTGTCCCTCGTAGTCCAGGCTACAGATGGTGGAGCCGTGCAAAAATCTTCAGAAGGAATTCAAGTTATTCTTTTGTACAACGTGAACGACAACGCGCCCTACTTCACAGATGCGCCGTCCGAGGTGGAGGTCAAGGAAAACCTGGACATTGATGCTGTGATCCTGGACCTTCAAGTTGCCGACCATGATGGGGATACAGTGACCTTGGCGCTGTCTGGCAGTGATGCGTTCCAGATTGTCGGAACCAGTATCACCCTCCAACATCGAGTAGACTTTGAGTCCAGACAGTGTCACACAGTAACAGTGAGGTAAGGAAATAACAAAACAGTGTGTTCAGCCGCTCCATCTCCTGCAGGGGTTTCAGCATCTTGATGTCAGACCTCGCTTATCATCTTCAAAGCAGACACACAACGCTTGATTAAATTCAAAACGGCAACGCCAGAAAATGGCCTGGATTACCTTTCGAAACAGATTCCATTAGGCGTAAAAGGTTGGTTGGTTGGTTTGTTGTTTAGCGCCGCACTCAGCAATATTCCAGCTATATGACGGCGGTCTGTAAATAATCGAGTCTGGACCATTAAATCCAGTGATTGACATCAGGAGCATCGATCCACGCAATTGGGATCGATGACAAGCATCAACCAAGTCAGCGAGCCTGACCACCCGATCCCGTTAGTCGCCTTTTACGGCATGCATGGGTTGCTGAAGACCCCGGAATCTTCACGGGTCAGGCATAAAAGGGGAAATAGTGATGAAACATAGATGAACTGAATATATGATCAATGAAAGTTAGTGATGACAATATGTTCTCGAAAAGGGTTCACGGGCCCTGTTCTACTGGTAGCACCGCCATTCAGGTCAGGTAAAATAAAGAAACAGGGGTTGTGTTCCTGCGTTTTGGCTAACTGAAAAATATAGATTTAGTATAACAGACTGGTTAACAGACTACGTTGGAAAAAATACTTGTATCTATTCTTGAATTTTAATTATTTCTTCATTCATAAAATTTTGCATGAACAACTTGAGAATTAAAAAAAAGGCCTTTGTCCGAAACTGATTCACTTTCATTTAAGTTTATGTTGCCTGCAAACACAAAAAAATGAACCTCATAATTGCCTTCATAATAAGGATTGAGACAAAGATTTAAAATAATCTTTTATATTCTCCCGAAGTGCCTTGGACGGAACTCACGTAAGCAACATCTCAATCACCATCCATGTCTTAAACGTCATGGACGAAGCACCGGAAGTAACTTTATTACCTCCCCTGACTCTGATTGAAGAACAGCCTATAGGAATGGGAATTGGATGGTTCTTCTCTGTCAGTGACCCGGATGTAAACGACACTGTCACATATACGTTGTCAGGTATGTATCGAATTGCATGACAGACTGATGTTTATTCACTTCCATATGGTTATATTTAGTAACAAAACTGAAAAGGGTATTTTGAAGGCTCGTGTTGTATGTTAGGGGTATTTTGAACTCTTATAAGATCTCCATCGGTCCCGAGGGGGAATGGACTGATGTACCTTCAAGGTTAGTTTATGCCACAAACAAAGAGGATCAGCAAACCACGTCACCCTAGGGACCGTTGGACAACGAATTTATGTAACATCTATTTATATGGTACGTAGGTATCCGTCGTATGCATGCACACATTGGTCCGACAATTGGTCAACAACAACAGAAACGTAAATAAATAATGACCATTATGTTATTAAATGCAGGATCCGGTGCGGATAATTTTAACTTGGAATCGTCCGGAGAACTGATCATTGCTAAACGAATTGACCGTGATAGCCCTGGGGATGCGTCCTTCATCGATGACCTTCTTCTAACCGTCACCGACTCCGCCGGCCTTCAGACCTCTGTCAGCTGGAACCTCACCGTCGTCGACATGAACGACAACGCACCTGTGTGTGACGTCACAGGGCAGGTGAACATCACGGAGAATTCCGATGAAGGTAGAGTGTTCTCTCGCTATTGCACCCTTCAACCCTAACTCGGTTATTGCGCGCGTTAACGAATGGCCCCTTAAATTAATTACGAATATTTAGGATGGCTATGGAAACTGTCCCGGATGCGTCGTTAGCCATATTGAAACAAGAGACAAGAATTCTACATCGATACCATTGCGGCTTGTTTTATCGAGCGAATGAGTGAGTATTATTTTGCGTCGCTTTTAGCAATATTCCAGTAATATCATGACGGGGGACACCGGAAAGAATGTTCACACTGTGTACCCACGTGAGGGTTTTTGTCGAACAGCGCGATAGATTTTGTGATGTTATCGCATCGTGAAGTTAGTATTGTGAAGAAGTGAAGTAAGTGTTAAGTAACTAAAGTATCACAAGGCAAACATTGTTATGTATCTATAGTATCACAAGACAAACATTGTTATGTAACTATAGTATCACAAAGCAAACATTGTTATGTAACTATAGTATCACAAGACAAACATTGTTATGTAACTATAGTATCACAAAGCAAACATTGTTATGTAACTATAGTATCACAAGACAAACATTGTTATGTAACTATAGTATCACAAAGCAAACATTGTTATGTAGCTATAGTATCACAAGACAAACATTGTTATGTAACTATAGTATCACAAAACAAACATTGTTATGTTACTATAGTATCACAAGACAAACATTGTTATGTAGCTTTAGTTTCACAAGACAAACATTGTTATGTAACTATAGTATCACAAGACAAACATTGTTATGTAACTATAGTATCACAAGACAAACATTGTTATGTAACTATAGTATCACAAGACAAACATTGTTATGTAACTATAGTATCACACGGCAAACATTGTTATGTAAATAAAGTATCACAAGATAAACATTGTTATGTAACTATAGTATCACAAGATAAACATTGTTATGTAACTAAAGTATCACAAGACAAACATTGTTATGTAACTATAGTATCACACGGCAAACATTGTTATGTAACTATAGTATCACAAGACAAACATTGTTATGTAACTATAGTATCACAAGACAAACATTGTTATGTAACTATAGTATCACAAGACAAACATTGTTATGTAGCTTTAGTTTCACAAGACAAACATTGTTATGTAACTATAGTATCACAAGACAACATTGTTATGTAACTATAGTATCACAAGACAAACATTGTTATGTAACTACAGTATCACAAGACAAACATTGTTATGTAACTATAGTATCACACGGCAAACATTGTTATGTAACTATAGTATCACACGGCAAACATTGTTATGTAACTATAGTATCACAAGACAAACATTGTTATGTAACTATAGTATCACACGGCAAACATTGTTATGTAACTTTAGTATCACAAGACAAACATTGTGATCCTCATCACGAGATAGGTATATGTTTTGTAACTTTATCACAACGTTATATACACAGTGTGTTAGTATCGCATTAAGTCCAACATTATGATAATATCGATCTTTCACGACGTATTTTTTGTGATACTATTCGTAAAATACATGTAGTAAAATTACAACAATTTCACGTTCACAACCTCGCGAATCATATTTTGTATCGTTTTCGTAGAAACCTTATGACACTTTAATGTTATTTAAAAAAAATATTGATTGCAGTGATTATCAAACCGAAAACATCCCTACTTGAGTGGATTCATTGCTATTTGCAGGTATCGTCATCGCCGACATTGCCTGCACCGACCTGGACAGTTGGGAATATGGGGTTGTGGTACTAGATCTGGAGACAGCGACCAACCAGTTCCAGATCTCTGGAACCCAACTTCTGACAGGGGGAGACCCCATAGACTACGAGGCCATTGATGACTGGAACTTCGTGTACAACGTCCAAATTGTGGCCGTCGACAACCCCGCTGGTGAACCACGTCTCACCTCGACGTCTATCGTCACGGTCAAGGTATTGTGGCCCGGCATATCGTAAACTAGAATTTTTAAAAATATACCTATTGTTTTTTGTTCCTCTAAACTATTGTCCAGCAGGTCGCTCTGGAGAGTTTTGAACTTTGCTGCCAGGATCCTTTGGTTCAGATCCAGTTTTCGACCACACCTTGTATACGAGTCCGTGTATACTCTCCAGGGAGTTGAGAATGATAAAACGGGAATGCAAGCGGATCCACTGGTCGGGGAACAAATAAAACGGCATTTGAGCAGATGCTAGTACCTGGATACCCGCAGTATATAAATTTATATCATATATATGTAGACGAGGTCCGGGTTCGATTTACGAAATGAGTACGATGTGTGAAGCCCATCTTTGGTATCCCTCGTCATGATGTTGCTGAAATAGTGCTGAATTATGTGTTACTATTCTCACTCACTCATTTAATACAGTATGAGACAATTAGTAAAACCTTCATGTGCCAACTTGTGATTGACTTTTGCTTCTCGTTTGATAAGGAAATTGTTTTTTATTTATTTATTAATTTAGCATCATCGTCGTCATCATCGTCATCATCATCACCATCATCATCACCATCATCATCATCATCATCATCATCATCATTATCATCATTAAAAAATAATCGCCGTTGAGGCCACTGTAGACGACGAAAGAAATAAACAATTCGCTTTGTCATCTACTGTGACGTCAGTAATCACTTTGCCGAGTTTCAAACATGGTTGACACGTGATTGAGCTTGTTGAGCACATTACTTGGATCTTCAGGTCCTCCCTGTGAACGAGCACACACCGGTGTTTGAGGATATTGTTGGCGACGGCCACTTTGTCGAAGTCTCCGTTGCTGAAGATGCTGATGTAGGAGCTGTTGTCAACACGTTCGTGGCGACAGACGTTGATCTTGGCAGTGATGGTCACGTGACTTATGGCATCCAATCAGTGATATCAGGTGAGACATTTTGAAAGAATTCATGACAAGCAGTGACGTAATATAAGAAACAATCACAGAACGTTTTTTCTTGTTTCGTTACAGATTTGTTGAGAAATGTTGAAATATAAACAAACAGTTCAATATGCTTTGTTTGTTTGTTGTTTAACGCCGCACTCAGCAATATTCCAGCGACAATCCAGTGATTAACATCATGAGCATCATGAGCATTGATATTCGCAATAGGGAATTGCGTTGTTTCAGTGTCAATCAACTAGGTATCAGTCATTGCTGTGCTGAGCACATATTCTCTCCTTAACTTGAACATAAGTACCCCAATTTTCCAATGATCCAGTCAAAGTCAATTCTTCTCAGCTTATAAATATGAACATGGCGGTAAACCCATTGGTGAGTGATGATTTCAGAGTTGAAACCTAGAAACCCAGAAACCCAGAAACCCAGAATCCCGTATATTTCTCTATCCAATACATTTCATACTGCCCTCTCACATGGCACTACCACATCGCACAGCTACATGTCTATACATGTAATATGAAGATCACTTATGAAACAGACAAAATGTCCTTGATTGAGGGCTGCATCTAATTCCGAATGTATCTGTGAGCTACAGTACCATGGCACTACTTTTTGTATATATGTATCAATGTGATCTCGAATCTTAACAATATGCGCCGCTGAAACTGGCTGACCTCCCAGTCTTTGTGTGAAAATCGATATGAACGCACTGACATATGATACGTTTTATGGATAGCAAAATCAACATGGAGATGAAGCTACAAGTGAGTGATAAAGAATAAAAGAAGTTGTTATCCCTAAAAGTGTCATGTATTCATGTTCTTCCATCTCCGAAATGCCTATCTATGCCTTCATGAATGCCCTGGTGAATGACCCTGAACTGTTTTCTAGATTCTGGCGTCCAGCAAGACGGTTTGTTTACCATCGATGCCTCATCTGGGCAGCTGAGAGTTTCTAGCCAGCTGGACGCTGATGCCGCAACAGGCGGCGTCAACTACTACACCGTCAACATCACTGCTACGGACGCAGGCTCTTCCCCTCGCTCCACCCATGGTGCATTGCGCGTGGAGGTAACGGGGATTAATGACAACCCGCCCGTGTGGAACATCACTGATCAGGAAGTTGACGTTTTTGAAAACGCCAGTGTCGGACAGGACGTCGTCTATCTGATGGCTGATGACGTCGATGGAGATGCAGTGACCTTCAGCACTTCTGATACCAAGTTCAAGGTTGACGGGTCAATGTTGAAGGTCGAACAACAACTTGACTTTGAGTTTCAACGGTGTCACACACTTACAGTCAGGTATTTAAAAATAAATAAAAACAATTTCTGTGCAATAGATCAAAACTTCCGCATGGCAAATATACTGATGAAACGAATAAAGGAAAAAGAAAATATATAGTGAAATAAGCTTTACTTTCAGTACATTTGAAATGTCAGAATGAATGTTGAGATGTTTGTGCGCATTGTTTCTAATGCGTATTTGGTAAACAAGGCAGGGAACCATGATATTATATCATGTTTCTCAATTGTCTGTGTCTTAAACTAAATATTCCCTTATTAATTTACACCAGTATGTAAAATACAATGCCGGGCAAAAGAATGTATACACTTGAAAATTGGATTTGACCCGAATTATTACAAACGTTATCAAAACGTTCCTGGCTACTAGGCTGAAAACAGTCGCCGAAAAACTTCCAACTTTAGGTCTTAAAACACAGCTACCCGTTACAAATACATTACCACTGAATAACCATTTCTTGTTTGTTTCGACCGCCTCCGTGGCCTAGTGGTAGAGCGTCCGCCCGGAGAGCGGAAGGTCCGGGGTTCGATCCCCGGACGCGTCATACCAAAAGACGTTAAAAGATGGTACTTGTTGTTACCCTGTCTGGCGCTCGGCATTAAGGGGAGAAAACAAGGACTTGTCAGCTCGGAGACAGTATACTGTGTCTGAGTGGTGTATTCATGTTAAACTGCGGCATGGTATCTCAGTGAGCTAGCACAATAAATCGGCATCAGTCCAGACTAGTACAAGCAGCCACACAAACACACACACGTAAATGCAGTCGCTATATAAGTGCAATAATCTTGGACGCGACGTTAAACCCCATTTCACGTCACGTCTTGTTTGATTCATTTTTAACCACCATCATCAACCGTGTATTTATCTTTACATATTGTTACCTGTAACAAAATGCGTGCGTAAAGGAAATCCGAAACATGGACTTTTTTCGACATTGACATTTTAGGATGATCAGTCAAAGATGCATATGCAGCTATTATCCAAACAGTTTCAGCCGTGTTTTTTGTTTCAATCGTAAAATAGCTATTTTGTAACATTTGATATTTGCCTGCTAACACCAAATTGTCATTCAGCGCCACAGATGGAAAGTACACGGTTGACCAAACTCTAGTAGTCCATGTCTTGGACTCCAACGACGAGACTCCTGTTGTCACGGTTACCAAGGTGATATACATTCCGGAAGAGATTCCAGTGGGGACGGACGTCGCGAGAGGCTACTTCGTCAGCGACGCGGATGAGAACGACACCCTCACCTACAGTCTACAAGGTTTTAATCTTTTGATAATCCGATTGTATCATCCAGGAAAGTGGAAGTTGCCGTGTGGCACAATTTACTCATGTTCGCAATAGTGTTTGCCCAAACAGTAACTGGTAGAACACCAACCCTGCCTGCGTGTTGACTTTGATCTAAATCGAGTGAGTGTGTTGGGTTTAATGCCGCTTTTAACAGTATTCCAGTTACATCACGGCGTATCTGCTTTATATGGGAGGAAAGCCCGAAGTGATGCAGGTCTTTGACGTTTACCTCTTTAGTGCTGACAAACCAAGAAAAGTAATCGGGAAAAACCGAGAATCGAACGATCATGACTTCTTGGTGTGCCCAAGGGACGAAACTCTGCACAGCTAATTGTGGTGCCTTGGACGACTGGGCCACCTGTGTCCCATCTAAATTGAGAGGTTACCGTGCATTTTGTAATTTTTGAAGAACACTCAGTTTGTTCTCCACCAGGTGGCGATAGTGACTTGTTGGCTATCAATGGTACAACTGGTCAGCTGTCCCTCGAGCGACACCTGGACTACGAGACTTTAACATCAGCGTCACTGGACGTCAAGTTGCACGTCACTGACGTAGCCGGTCATACCGGGACACAAGCTCTGGATATAGTCGTCACTGACGTCAACGATAACACGCCCACCTTCTCCAGTGCTATACATAGGGTGAAGGTAACAGAGCAAGCGGCAGCAGGTAGACACTTGATATACTTTTATATCAAATATATGCATTAATACACTCTACAATAGTGAGTGAGTGAGTGAATATGGTCTTACGCCGCTTTTAGCAATATTCCAGCAATATCACGGCGGGGGACACCAGAAATTGGCTTCACACATAGTACCCATGTCGGGAATCGAACCCGGGTCTTCTGCGTGACGAGCGAACGCTTTAACCACCAGGCTACCCGACCGCCCCTCTACAATAGGATTGGTCTTCAGCAACCCGTGCTTGTCGTATGAGGCAACTAACGGGATTGGTTGATGCACTTCGTCGTATCCAAATTGCGTAGATCGATGGTCGTGATATCAATCACTGGATTGTCTGGTCCAGACTCGATTATTTAAAGATTGCCGTCATATAGCGGGAATATTGCTGAGTGAGGCGTTAAACAACAAACAAACAAATCATATATTTGAAACAGAGAATATTAAATGTACTGTTAGAATAGATGGTTTTGCATCGATGATCGCAGTTGGGATAAGATAACATGCATCGACAGCGCCTTTTACGGCAAGCACGGGTTACTGAAGACCTTTTCTGGGGTCTCAAATATATATGACTATGACATATCTATTTAAAACAAAATAAAGGACATACTCCGTTTTTATTCTCGATTTGAGTTACATTGTTCGTTGTATATAATTTCATCTCATGACACAAGTCAAGATAATCAAATCAGGGAACATAATTCTACATTCCGATTTAAATGTAAAATGATAAATTATAGTCTTAAACGAGACATCGTTCATGACTGAGGTCACGTGTTCAGTATCGTGAGTGAGTGAGTGAGTGAGATGGTTTAAGCGCCGCTTTAAACATATATGATGCTTTTAAACAAGGGATCATAATCATGATGAATCCTGGATTCGAACCTTTTTCAGCGGATCTTGGCACGACTTCATTCGTGATCACTCTACTCCCAGCAAAAATATTTTTTGTTTTCACACAATATTCCAGCTATATGACGGCGGTGTGTAAATGATCGTGTCTGGACCAGGCCATCCAGTGATTGACATCATGAGCATCGGCCCACGTAATTGTATCAACCAAGTGAGCGAGCCTGAACCCCCAATCCCGTTAGTCGCCTTTTACGATAAGCAGGGGTTGCTGAAGATCAGTTCAAACCCGGATCTTCACGAGTACACAGCAAAAGAATTATCATCAAATAAGGAAGTGTAGTAATATATTTATACGATTGATTCAGAGACCGATCTGCTGACGCTCGAGGCTACGGACGCTGATGATGGCATAAATGGCGAGTTTAGCTTCAACATCACCGACGGCAACACGCACAACTTGTTCCGACTTGACGGAAACGTCCTCTACGCACAACCCATGGACTACGAGGAAGCAGAGGCAGTCGACTTCACGTATTCCGTCACTGTCACCGTCGTCGACCACGCAACAGATGCCAGAACGGGCGTCTCCGTAGTCGTAGTTGAGGTAGGAAAAAACGACTCAGCTTTCACGGCGAGACTATATAAGGGGTTTATGAACTATAACGGTAGTTTTGTAAATGCCTTTAAGAAGAAGTGAGTGAGTGAGTATTGTTTTACGCCGCTTTTAGCAATAGTCCAGCATCATCACCATAAATTAGGCTTAACACGTTGTACCTGTTTTGGGAAAAGAACCCGGGTCTTCGGCGTGACGATAGAACGCTTTAACCACTGGGCTACCCGAACGTTTCAAATAATTAAAACTATGTTTTATTGTAAAACAATCTGTGAAACAGTGACAAAACCAAAGCTTAACTTTATCTGCACACCAAAATAGATAATCCCGGAGAATGAATATGACCCTGTACTGGAGAGTGTTACCGAAAAGAGCCTCCCGGAAGACACTGAGCCTGGTTTTGAAGTCCTCACCGTTCACGCCACTGACGCGGACCTCGGAGAAGACGGCGTTGTGACGTATGACATTACGTCAGTTCTCTCGGGTAGGCGTGTTTGGAATTATACACAATGACAGCTGATAATGGACGACACGCGTTATTGGACACTGTATGGATGCCAGAATGTGTGTATTTTCCGAGCAAGAACTATAGAATTGTATGGATTCTGACACAAATATTTGACACTTAGCGTTTGATAGACTCACGGAAGTATTAAGTTTATAGGAATAGGTTTAGTGAGGATACCATGTCTTCTCTGAACATTAAAATGTCAATATACTAAATTCATTAAACTAACGCTTAGTCTCTGAATAGAAATCTTTTTGATGGAAACAAAAAACTTCGAAAAGCAGCCCCAGTGAGAAAGGAGATTCAGAACCTGAGGAAAATCTAGACTTGCTTCATTTTGAGCTTTAACATTCCCGAAAGAAGTGGGCAGAAGGGAAAATAATATAGTTCATGAGCTATGAGACTCTGAATTCATATACTAGTATATGATGTGACGTCATATCTGGTGGTCATATCTTTTCACTCGTTTTGAGACTTGAATAACTCCCTTACCTCACAACCAAAGGAATAATATTATTAAGCTTACAGGATTTAATAAGTTCAACCATGTCAATAATAATTTTTGTAATAATCCTCGCGGCCCGGATTATTGTTTTGCAGATTCCAACACTGATGCTCCTGAGAAATTTACTATTGATTGTGACACTGGCGTTCTGACAACGGCAACGGAGTTGGACTTTGATCCATCCACTGGAGGTGCGAGTTACTATGACATCACCATCAACGCCACAGACAAGGGAACTGTCCCTAGAACATCAACAGCAGTACTGCGAGTGAACATCAACGACATCAACGACATAGCACCGGCGTTTAAAGATGTCTCCTACACTGCCAACGTGGGCTGCAACGACGATGTGGGTAGTGAGCTCATGACGCTGAAGGCAGATGACGAAGACGGACCAAGTGTGGGCTATACCATCGATGCCAATCCTTACCTAAATGTCGATTCAGTATCAGGGGCGGTAACTCTGTCGGACTTCCCCACGGGTGGCGCTGTTTCGGATCTGGCTCAGTCAGTGGTTGTGACAGCGTCCGATGTCGACCTTGAGGGGAAATGTCACTTGTTGGTGCTGTTTGAGAATTGCGGTATGTTGTCACTAGCAGCAGATCTTGTTCATATTTATATCTATATGTATTTGTAGAGTTAGAGTGTAGAGCAGAAGGTCGGTGGTTCGATCTCCAGCGCGTCAAAACAAAATACGTCTTGAGATGGTACTTGTTGTTTCCCTGCCTGGCGTTCGGCATTAAGGGGATAAAAAAAAGGACTGATCGGCTCTTAATTAGTCAGTATACTGTGTCTGAGTGGGGTATCCATGTTAAACTGCGGCATGGTATCTCAGTAGGCTAGCACTTGAAAAGCGACCGGACTAGTACAAGCATCCCATTTCACCTCACCCCACCTGTATTCAGTTCTAACAACACTAGGTTCACGCACCAGGATCCGCAGATCTTGGGTTCGAATCCCGCATTCGCCACGATTATGATATTTGGTTTCTTAACATTGTGCATTATAACCCGAGCGCTCACGGTCACTTTTTGGCTAGCATGCCTTGAAATAGGTAATAATTGCTGTTCAAAGCGGCGTTAGACCCAGCTCTCTCACTAATTAATATAAACATCGCGTCGTCATCCGAAAAATACCAATGTAATTTGATACCATAAACGTTTATATATGGCTGCTGTTCTATAGCTTGATTTCAGGTTCGTTATATAGCTCCCCGGTGGTATCCCGCCCTCCAGCAACCTGAGCAGCCTCTCGTACGACAATGTGATTGACATTTTCAGATAACACAACGTCTGTTTCAACGACAACGTCTGCGACAACGTCTGCGACAACTACAACAACAAACACCCCGTGCCCAAATGTGACGTGCAACTGCAACAGCAATTCGACGGTTAACGGTGAGTCAGGAGAATGAGTAGATTTGTAATCTCATAAATTTCCAAATGCACGCCTACAGTATAAGTATAACGATATAAAACCTCTCGGGGTGTCGGGTTAGAATAAGCCTCCAGAAACCTATGCTGGTCGGAAGAGGCGGGTGATCAGGCTCTGTGATTTGGTTAATGCGTGTCATCGTACACCGACGTCGTAGATCGTTTTTCATGATATCAATCACTGGACTGTCTGGTCCAGACTCAATAATTTACAGGCCACCTTCATATCGTCGAATGTTGCTAATTGTGGAGTTATGTTTGTTTGTTTGTTTGTTGTCTAACGCCGCACTCAGCAATATTCCAGCTATATGACGGCGGTCTGTAAATAATGGAGTCTGGAACAGACAATCCAGTGATTGATATCATGAGCATCGATCCACGCAATTGGGATCGATGACAAGCATCAACCAAGTTAGCGAGATTGACCACACGATCCCGTTAGTCGCCTTTTACGACAAGCATAGTCGCCTTTTACGGCAAGCATGGTTTGCTGAAGACCTATTCTACCCCGGATCTTCACGGGCAATTGTGGAGTTAAACAACAAACAAATAAACAAACACGATACAGAAAGATCGCCTAAGCCTTCACAGTTCGCTGTTCAGAGTTAAGCCCCTTACGCGTGTCAGTATTTTATGTTGGTGTGTTAATAATTCCCCGGGTTTCACCTCGGGTTCTCCTCCCACATTGAGCTGACAGCCGTGACATGACAGCCATGAATTATTTTTTAATACCTCTACCCAAAATACTTCAGATCAAACTACTTCTGTCACAACCACCACGACAACCACCACAACAACCACGCCGACGGCAGCAGCCTGTGTATGCAACAACGCCACATCACCTGGTAAGTAGAAAGATGTGACGTCATGATTCACCTCATTCTCTCGCTCACTGGTTTTGTTCCATGGATTTGATCACTGTTATTCCACTGGCCTTACTAATTCAATGATCTAGTGGATAGAACGTCTGCCCGGAGAGCGGAAGTCGGTGATCCCCGGCCGCGTCATACCAAAAGACGTTGAAAGATACATGTTGCTACCTTGCCTCGCGCTCGACTTAAAATAAAATAAGGACTAGTCGGCTTAGAGTCAGTATTCTATGTCCAAATGAGGTACTTACGTTAAACTGAGGCATGGTATCTCAGCAGGCTACCACAATAAAACCGGCATTAGTCCGAACTTGTACAAGCAGCCACACACAATTTGGTTGTTGGTTGGTTTGTTGTTTAACGCCGCACGCCTCGAGGCGTGGCGACTAACGGGATCGGGTGGTCAGGCTCGCTGACTTGGTTGATGCATGGCATCGTATCCCAATAACGTATAGCGATGATGCTGATGTCAATCACTGGTTTGTCTGGTCCAGACTCGATTATTTACAAACCGCCGTCATATAGCTGGAATATTACTGAGTCGGCGTTAAACAACAAACAAACAAACAAGAGAGTATATATATATATGTTCTCAGTGTTCTGAGTTGTGTATCCACAAAGGTACAAAAGACAAACCACAGTATGAAACATTGCATTAAGATGCAGACCGTCTCGATCCAACTCTAGGTTCTATCTGGCGTATCTAGTCACCTCTGCCTTCAGCAATAACAATGAACATATATTTTCAGTTTCAACAACAACGACGAAACCTGTAACCTGTCCAAGCGACGTCACGGCATCCCCCTGTGTGTGCAGCAACACTACAACCGCTGCTGCAGCTGCTGCCGACACAGATGCAGGCTATGCAGCGGAAGTGTGGGCCATGCGAGCTCTCGTCGTTGTCATGTCCATGATGATAATGGCGATGGTTGCGGTGTACCTGAAAAATGCTCTGTACGTATAGCTTGTCACGTTCACAACCAGCGTTGTCTCATACTTAAGATGGCGTTTGGTCTTGTCATATTCCACGGCATAAGAGTAAGATTGGAACAGAAAGTTATGATTTCTATATGTTTACAGTAGCCTCTAGGGTTTGATTAGGCTGGCGATAGTTGCATACGACTACATTCGCTAGACAGCCACAGTGCCACAATGTGTTTGTCCCTTAATTCATTTCAATCATAATAAAAGTTGTCACCGCCTCACCAATCCACCCACCCACACACCCCAAAACAAACTATGACCAACAATATTGTTTTTACAAAAACACATACATAAAAATTAAATAAAATAAATTTCAAAATAAATAAAATACAACAAACGTATAAATAAATCAAAATCAATAAGTTCATAAATATAAAATAAATAAGGGACGCAACCCTGCAAAAGCGAATTACGGCGCCTCAGATGAGTTGAACGCGGGTCCCCGTGGCCCCGTTAGAGACTTGAACCTGCATTGACAGGAATCCCTGTTTATCAATACCAGAGTGATAGCCCTGTCTTTACGTTTGCTCACGTTAATAGGGTGATTTGTTTACTTATTTCGTGTGTGTGTTTCAATAAGCAGTTCATGAATTTTGCTTTTTTTCAGAACAAAAGTCCCACAATCAACGCCGATAAATAAAGGTAAGGTTGATATTGTATCACGACTCAGTGAAACGGGGTGATTAACAGGGTATGGAATGTAAGGGTTTCCTGACTAACGGGGTGTGAACTATAAGGGTTTTCCTGACTTACAGGGTCTCGACTGTAAGGGTTTCCTGACTAACGAGTGTTTGATTGAGTGTCATCCAACCTAGACAAAGTGGTCAAAACTCAGTTATTTACAGACCGGCATAAAAAAACATTCACTCATTCACTCATTTCTATACTCTAGTTCAACCCAGAACGAACAGCGTTGAGAGGGGCATCGGCAGCGATGACTACGGTCTGAAGATTGAAGACTTGTAAGTTCAGTACCCGTGTTATAATTTGTGTCAGTGAGAATTACAAAAATATCGCAGTTGAATGGTACGCGTTGTCATATAAGGAAGAATCCTTGTGGTTGTGACTGCCGAGCCAAGTGTATAGTTAGCCAGAATCTTAGCAAAGTCTTTGATAAGCATTTAGAATTTGGAAGAACATGAATACATGACACATTGTCGCGACCTTTCAGAGCTAGAACGGTAAGATGGTTGTTGGTCCTGGTGTTCTTCTGACCGATGCTGCTGCACTGATTGATCTCCCTCATAGGTTCATGTATATTAACTCTATGCATCTACTCAGCATTCACCTGATGATACCCGTGAAGATTCCGGGGTAGAACAGGTCTTCAGCAACCCACGCTTGCCGTAAAAGGCGACTATGCTTGCCGTAAAAGGCGACTAACGGGATCGGGTGGTCAGGCTCGCTGACTTGGTTAATGCATGTCATCGATCCAAATTGCGTGGATCGATGCTCATGATATCAATTACTGGATTGTCTGGTCCAGACTCGATCATTTACAGACCGCCGTCATATAGCTGGAATATTGCTGAGTGCGGCGTTAAACAACAAACCATCAATCATAAATGAATCACCTGATGAAGGGGGCACGGGTGGCCCAGTCGTCTAAGGCGCCCCGATTCGCTGTACAGAGTTGCGTCCCTTGGGCACGCCAGAAACCTATGATTGTGTGTTCGAAACCCGGTTCGCCCCGATTATGTTTCTAGGTTTGTCAGCACCATACCCGTGCTCGTGGGTTTCACCGAAGTGGTAAACGTCTGAGACCTGCATCACTTCGGGCTTTCCTCCAACATTAAACCGACACGCCGCTGTATAACTGGAACGTTAAACCCAACTCACTCACTCACCTGATGAAGGAGGAAGAAGTAGCTCTGCAACGTCGTGACAAAGAATAAAATAAGTTTTATCCATAAAAAGTGTCATGTATTCAGAATCGTAGTTGCGATTCCCGGGCCACTCACTGCTGGCAGACTGTGGCGAACATTGACCACGGTCATCCTGGTGGGCCCATCGTCTTCTGGCAGTGGTAGGTGATGCTGCAACGAAGGTGCTGGAGCTGTGGCTCATAGGTAGCCTGATGCTCTTGTTCTATATTCGATTTCATATTCACCCAAATTACGATCCTTGGTCTGTGAGCACCATACCTGTTTCCTTAGTCTCGCCATAGTCATGAGATCCGTGAAGACCCGTGTTAGAATAGGTCTTCAGCAACCCATGCTTGTCGTAACAGGCGAGTCTGCTTGTCGTAAGAGGCGGCTAACGGGATCGGGTGGTCAGGCTCGCTGACTTGATGATGCATGTCATCGTATCCCAATTTCGTGGATCGATGTTCATGATATCAATCACTGGATTTTCTGGTCCAGACTCGATTATTTACAGACCGCCGTCAAATAGTTTGAATATTGCTGAGTTCGGCGATAACAAACAAACAAACAAACAATATAGTGTTGAGCGTCTACGGCCTGCTCAACTTCAGGCTTAAAGTGTCATGCCTCGATATTACATAAATAAGCAGCGATGTTCCTTTTTTCATGAGACCGCCTCCGTGGTCTAGTGGTAGAGCGTCCGCCCGGAGAGGGTGAAGGTCCGGGGTTCAATTCCCGGCCACGTCATACCAAAAGACGTTCAAAGATGGTACTTGTTGTTCAGCGTTTGTTTGTTTTCTTTCAGTGGAAAGGGGTAACACAGTGATGAAATGAGAAGGTTTTCCTGACGGTACAACACACGTCAAATCTCCAGGATTAACTTCATTCATCGCGCACACAAAACCTTCACGATTTCTACTATTTTTAATGCAAACACCTTTATGAAAATGTCTTCACGATGACGTCATGATGCTGACCGTCTTCTTCATAACCTGTTCCTACATTTAGGGGTGATTCATTGTGTGATGTGGTATAGACCGAATGTTATAATTTCACTACTACTTGCTTTTTCTTGTCAAACAACATTATCTCGTCGAGTTACATGGAAAAATGAGTGACACAACAACTCCGGGCCACGAGATAAGAAAAGGGTGTTGTTTGAAGAAGAATAGACAGTTTTTCTATTCATTATATATTTTCCTATTGATGTGACATGTCTTCGTCTGGAACATAGTACCATTGAAACATTCGTGACCAACTCGTGTTATTCCGGGACAAGCCGAATAGCGACTCGTGCCCCTCTCGTGGCCATTTTTGCAACCGGGATCCGTCTTTGCGCAAACGGGCATACCCAAAACAATTGTCAACTCGTTGTGTAATGGTTCACATATAGTTCCCCACATATCATATATATTTCAGATGCAATTTAAAGCACATCGGGAAGTGCGGAATTATACGGTATGATTGAACACATTTAAATGTGTCTTGGGTATAATTTTAGATGCAAGAGATATGTAAAATCAAAAATTATTTCTGAGCGATTCTTTGACGAAGAACTTGAAATCATGCGCGCATTCTGATTGGTTTGTCGTATTTTCGCACATAACATTCACCGATAGGGGGACGAGTCTTCTTGCAGGTTACGGAAAGGGGCGAGTGGTGACGAATGCTATTGAAACTGACTGAAAGTAGTTCCGGCATAAATTCAAAATTCATGATATGTGTGCTTTGGTTGTGTTGTTACGCGTGTTTCCATCCTACCATGGTGGGTACCTCAGTGTGTTTACGTGTATACAAGCATGTTTTAAACCAGATACATCATTATAACAGTCTTGGTGTTTGTTATATGTAGGAATATTTCTGGAATGTTTGTTGTCAAGGCATTGACCATGGCGTATGCATTTGCGACTGACCTTAATCTTGTTATAGTATATGAAATTTTACGAAATTGAGTTAAATGTTTGAAATTGATGTTTTATATCTGTTTTCTGCGTTATAAGGTTGTTACTTGTTTTTTTAAATTGTGCACAAAATGTAAGGGATATATTTTTCTGTTTATTCTATTTTACGACACTCGATGTTTCCTCACCATGAACTTGTATGAACACAACGAAAATAATAACTGTGGCCATGTTCTTATTTATTTACTTTATTTATTTATTACTGGAAGCACACTCCTCTCTTGTTTGTGGATGTATAGAACAGTTAGCTGAACATGGACCCACAGGCTTTCTAAAGATTATTCAGTTTCAAATTCAATTTCTAAGTTTAAATTTACATTTTCAAATTTTAATTAAACTTCGCTGTCTCTATTTTTGTTCACAAAAGAATGTCACGTTATTCCCGTTTAGGGAAGGAAAAGGTGATGTGGGACTTCATTTTGATCCAGACAGCTAACTCTATACGATGACATGCATCAACCGAGTCAGCGAGCCTGACCACCCGATCCCGTTAGTCGCCTCTTACGAAATACGGGTACCAGTGCACGAACATATCGAATGATGTAACTAGAGATGTGTGATCCTTCTATTTGAATAAGAGGCGCTAAATCCCAATCTCAGAGAAGATTAAAACACAAAAGCGACGATAGCACCCTCACGGGCACCGCAGTGTAGTAGTGTACAATGAGACTATTGATAGACATGTAAATCTGTCCATAACAGCATAATTATTTTTTCGTTTTTAGTAACAAATAAATTATATGAAAACATTTACAATTACCTTGCAGAAAAGCATTTCAGTATGTTGCAAGATAAGGTAGAGCAGACATTGCCGCCCATTATTTAGGAGGTTCGATGAAAACATATATATTTTGACACTGCGTCTTTAATGAGGATCGGATAACCTGACTGCGTTTGTTTGTTTGTTTGTTTGTTTGTTGTTTAACGCCGCACTCAGCAATATTCCAGCAAAATGACGGCGGTCTGTAAGTAATCGAGTCTGGACCAGACAATCCAGTAATTGACATCATGAGCATCGATCCACGCAGTTGGTATACAATGACATGCATCAACCAAGTCAGCAAGCCTATTATTTCAAAGCCTTTCAGCATTTCTGTCAACTTTCAATTAATCAGACATTATATCTAAAAACTGCAATTATCACATAAACAGTCATAAGCCTGAAAATGGGACTTTGAAGAAAATGAGTCCAAATGTTTGATGTCGTGTGTCATATGAATTGAAACTTGTCAATTGTATTTTTGTGGTTCCAAGATACTGTAGTTTTTAAAAATAATAAATCAAAATGTGATTTTTCACCCATTAGATCTCCTGGTGGGTTACATAGTTTACTTTCTGACTGGGTCTGTTAACTTGTTTCTGTGATGGAAATCAAAGCGACAATACCATTTCTTTATCATAACAAATGTCTGCTGAAAGCAGCGTCCATTGCCAGTGTACGATTCCAACTATACCGATGAGCAAAAGAAACTATACCTTTCAGTTGAGCGTATCATGTGTTTGGTTTTCAATTGAAAATATCTTAAGTTAGCGATATTGTTTAAAAAACCCTGTAGAGGCGCCTTGTCAGATCTCAAAGAATACTTCTACATAGTTTTATTTTTTTAAATGTAATTTAATTTAAACTTTTCAAAATTTAAAAAAACCCGTTCGCATTATATACAACTGCTGATTGGTATGTTAGACATCTTATCTTTGAAAATATAAAAAAAAAAAAAATTTCGACACAATTTTACATTTTAAACATGGTAGGGGTCATGTGACTGCACATTCATTTCTAACCCTAGTCTTCATTGAACCAATTTATTTTTTCACAAAATTACCCAGCCACAGATTACTTTTTACAAACTGTTGCAGGAATGAGTGATGGTTAAATATACATAATCAACAATATTTATGTCAGTTTTTCGATTACATAAAAACAAACTTGGAATAATTTCTTTATCCCCTCAGTTTATTATGACTGAGTTATTTCAAATTTCAATTACATAAAAAACAAAATCGGCACACTTTTTAACTCCCCCAGTTTATTTAGAGTTCGTGCGAGACAATGTTATGTAAGGTGGGCAGAACTTCTTCTTTCATCACGACTTGTAAACCTACCAACAACACAATCACTATAATACTGATAATGATAAACATTTATTACTACAAAAACGTTCCTACGCTGTTAATTCGATGTTTCACGAAGAAATATATATCTATTAACTGTGTAACTCTCCTCTAAAATATTAACTATTACTTACCTAAGTTTCAAAAGTAATGCAGTTTCAAAGGCGTTGTACGGAGAACACGTTATTGATACCTGGGTGCAGTGCTCTGATAAGGGTACGAGACACCTCCTTTTTGAGGGTCTACTTTTGTCTGTCTCAAAGGCAGTGGCGTGCCGAGCATGATTACAAGCTAAAGAGCGAGACGGTTCTTTTGAAAGTGTTTTCAATGAAAAAGGACGTACCGTTGGGATAATTCCACCAATTACGTTGTCCGATGGAAATTTGTTGAACTTAGTTTGTGTCACCATACACACTACCAAACATACAATGCACATAAATATATCACTTCACAGTACATTTTTGCCAACACTTGAATATGATCATACTTTCATAGCGACTACATATGAAACAGTTTGTTTTCATGTATATCGTAAAGGGTTACATCCATAATATTTTTCGTCGCCATGACCGCCATGCTATCTGCATATGATCAAGGGCTTTTTCTTTTGTAAGACATGAATAATATCTATGAGCGAGGGGGCATCTAGCTGCCTGCCTGGGCTGTCTTCTGTTACACTGATAGAGAGATAGGCTGGACGCTTTCATTGCTTACTCACTTAACAGTAGCTCTTGGCTGACTACTAGTAGCCGCTTGTACATTCAAGTCGTGAATGACACCCACTAAAGTCAAGAATATGTAAGTATTGGCTTATTGATATTTTAATCATACCTTTGATACTGACTATGTGAAAATATATAAGATAAATATATATATGTATGTCCATATTGGTGTACCTATCATTATTATAAGTATTATATTGAATACAAGTTACAAAACCATTTCCATACTCATAATAATCTCTGCTGAAGGCAGAGTCCATGGTACGATTCAGACTATATCATGAGCATGTCTTTATGAACCATGGTAATTAGTGATATAACACTGGTGGCACCAAACACATGCAAAGGCAAGTCAATTGTTCACCTACAAAAACATGGGAACATATCTAATAAGTCAAAATGGGGAATTGCATAAGACAATTTCTGTCACTGGTGCGTTAAATTCGGAAATGTAGTCCACAAGTCTACCATAAAATGTTTTGAAAGATTTGCTAAGGCCTTGAATGTTCCTTGAATGATCAAACCACTTTTGATCAAGAGTCGTATAGTGCTCTTTGAAACACTTCCTCTCGTCATTTTGGCGTATCTATGTATTTGACAGGATTAAAAGAAATTAATAAACAAAATGAAATAAACATACATTTTTATGTATATTGACGATTTTGTTATTTGCGGTAATTAATGTTATTAGATATGCGATCATAATCTGGGTATACATCTAGAGTTATGTGTTAATGGAAATTTTAAGACACGATGGCATTAAAAGTAAAAATGCGATACACGATAAATAATACTATATATACGCTGCATTATAGATACACCAGTGTAACATTTATGAGACAAATACGTTAGCTTAATAACAAATGATATAGAACACAGTAATTACAAGTATATCGGTAAGCGTTATGAATATAAAGGACATGTATGAAAATAATAGTTATGAGTACCTTGGGGTTTACGCCGGTTGCGTTGGTATTCCAACATTTACTTTACCAGGACACCACATACTGTACTCGTCTGGGGAATAGAACACGGTCATTCAACCTCAACCACTCGGCCACCCTCTGTCCCGTACAGAGTGAAAAAGATAGCATACGTATAGCGAAAGTGTCGTTTAGCGCGAATTTTGAGGACTAAATAAGTTAACAGAATAGGTAAAATCGTACGTCACAAGAATAGGTATAAAATATACGTTTACGTATTATGTATGACCAGAGAGTATATTTCATGACATTAATGATACGTCAGCATTGTATTAAAGGTCTGTGAGTGAGTGTGGTTTTACGCCGCTTTGGGCATTATTCCATCAATACCACTGCGGGTTCACCAAAAAGGGATCTTTTATTAACCCTCGTGGGAATCCTTCTTGTGTGGCGAACGCCCCCTACAATTCAGTGATAAATGTGAGAGCTATATATCACTAAATTAAAATATAATTTATATTCTATACACTACATATTACGGCTACACGTTGGTATAGTGTCTGTGAAAGAGGTGAGGTGAAATGTGGTTTAACGTCGCGTCCAAGGTTATTGTACTTATATAGCGACGTGCATGCGCGCGCG